ACTACCCTGTCGATACTCCGGCCGAGCCTATGGAGGTGACTATTATGGGTACGATATATGAGGTGCAGGTCCAGTACCATATTCTCAACAACATCACCTATATTCTTCTCGATGCGCCTGTGTTCCGCCAGCAAACCAAGTCCGACCCCTACCCAGCCCGCATGGATGACCTTCATAGTGCGGTATACTACTCAGCTTGGAACCAGTGTATTGCAGCCGCCTGCAAACGGTTTCCCATTGATCTGTACCATATCAATGACTACCATGGATCCCTGGCACCTTTGTACTTGCTGCCTGAGACGATCCCCGTTTGCCTCTCGTTGCACAATGCAGAATTCCAGGGTCTCTGGCCGTTGCGAACGTCCAGTGAGCGGGAAGAGGTTCGATCAGTCTTCAATCTCAGTGCCGAGGTAGTGCAGCAGTATGTGCAATTTGGAGAGGTGTTTAACCTCCTCCATGCTGGAGCAAGCTATTTACGCGTTCATCAGCACGGCTATGGAGCAGTGGGCGTGTCGCGCAAGTATGGCAAGCGATCCTATGCCCGGTACCCTATTTTCTGGGGGTTGCATAAAGTGGGTAACTTGCCCAACCCTGATCCCTCTGACTTGGGCGAATGGAGTCCGGAGCAAGCCTTGGCCGCACAGCGTGACGACGTGGAGGTCAATTCCGACTATGAACAAGGGCGCGGTGCCCTCAGGCTCCAGGCGCAAGAATGGGCTGGTCTCGAGCCAAACCCCGATGCCGAGCTTTTTGTGTTCGTCGGTCGCTGGTCCATGCAAAAAGGCATTGACCTGATTGCCGATATCATGCCCTCGATCCTAGAGACTCACCCGGGAGTCCAATTGATCTGTGTTGGGCCTGTTATCGACTTGTATGGGAAGTTTGCCGCCCTGAAGCTGGACCACATCATGAAGCGTTATCCGGGTCGAGTGTTTTCCCGGCCTGAGTTCACCTCTCTTCCCCCGTATATCTTCTCGGGGGCAGAGTTTGCGCTGATTCCCTCGCGCGACGAGCCCTTTGGTCTGGTGGCAGTTGAATTCGGTCGAAAGGGGGCATTAGGAGTGGGTGCTCGGGTCGGTGGGCTGGGCCAGATGCCGGGCTGGTGGTACAATGTCGAGTCAACCTCAACCTATCATCTTCTCGACCAGTTCAAACAAGCTATCGACGCTGCCTTGGACTCGAAGCCGGCGACCCGGGCCCAGATGCGGGCTCGTTCCGCGAAACAACGCTTTCCAGTGGCGCAGTGGGTGGAGGACCTGGAGATCCTCCAGACCACAGCAATTCGCGTCCACAAAAAGGCGGCCAAAGGAAATGCCAGTGGCCGCACTTCAACCCTGTCAGGGCTTGCTTTGCACGAGTCCAGCGGGTTGAACCGACCGCTACACTCTGCTTCAGGACTGCCATCAGGAATGCAGACCCCCCTGAGTCCTTCGCGTGACAGCAGCTATACCAACCTCAACCGACTGAGTGAATTCATCGCCAAACCGGAGTCCGGCGAACGAGTGGTCTCCGGCTTGCAACGTAAACTTTCACTGGGTGTGCGTTCCGGCCCCGGCCATCAGCCTCGCGCCATCCGGGACGAAGGGCCAACAGATGATCTGTCTGTCATGGAGGAGAGCCTTGAAGAACACGCCGCTGCCGATGGCGATCCGGATCATGCTCAAGACAACGAATACACCCCCACCTCTGCGGAATTAGAGGCCGCGCGCCGCATGCAAGCTGCTCAGCAGTCAGGGCTAACGGCTGCGCCTAGCTCGCGAATCTCCAGCTACAGTCAACTTCAAATTCCAACATCTCCCGGCACACCCCGAACGAGTTCGATGGGCGAAATGGGGCTGTTGCCTCCCATGGGCTTCAGTGAGGTCAACCACCGGCTGAGCAGCGCATCCCTACTGTCGGTTGACATGGTCACGGGGCAGAAGAAGGATTTCCGACTGCAGAAAGTGGATCCCTTTTTCACGGATAGCACCGGCGAGTACCATGCTCAGTTCGATCAGAAATTGCAGAATTTGACCGGTGGCAACTCGGAGTCCGAGCTGTGCATCGAGAAGTTTCTCATTACCAGCGAAAAGGAGTGGTTTGAGCGATTCCACGACGCAAAGCTGGGTCGCCTAAAATCCCCAGCACCGTCTATCTTTCGCGATGACAAGAACGGCGCATCTTCTGTCTCTATTAATACTCGCGAGGACCGAAGCATCACCAATTGCAGCAGCAGCCACGAGCATGAGTCGGAACCGGATGATGAATTCCTGCTCGGCAAGGACTACAGGCCTCCTTCCGGTGTGAAACTCTGGATGCAAATTCGCCTCGGAAACTGGCCGATCTATTCCATCTTACTCGCTTTTGGCCAGATCATCGCGGCCAATTCCTATCAGATTACTCTGTTAACGGGCGAGGTTGGCGAAACTGCGGTCAAACTTTATGGAATCGCAACCACCTATCTTGTTGCTTCGATTTGCTGGTGGCTGATCTACCGGTATTATAAGATGGCCGTTTGCCTTTCTCTTCCCTGGGCCTTTTATGGGGTGGCATTCATGCTCATTGGCTCTGCGCATTGGACCACAAACTCTTTCGCCCGCGGGTGGATCCAGAATGTTGGAACCGGTGCTTATGCCGTCGCGTCAGCCAGCGGATCCATGTTTTTCGCCTTAAATTTCGGCGACGAGGGAGGCGCTCCCATGGAGGTCTGGATCTTCCGGGCTTGTCTGACTCAGGGGTTGCAATCCGCATATGTCATTGCCCTCTGGTATTGGGGCTCGGTCTTGACGAAAGCCTCGAGTGATGGGGTTTCCACTACCACTGATGGGGTCTCTGGCTCCTGGAAAATGACGTACGTTTCTCCCCTTTCCCTCTGGGTTGCTGCTTCTACCTCTTCACCTCCAACTGGAGATGAGGCTTGTGCATCGAACAATCATTGACCGTCGCTGACTGTTTCTCTTCTCCAGTGCCATCTGCTACCCCATTGCAGTAGTGCTGGCTGCTGTTGGGCTTCTGCTGTTCCACGGACTGCCCAACTACTATCACCAATCCCCGGGCAAAATCGCCTCTTTCTACAAGGCCGTTGTTCGTCGAAAGATTGTGCTCTGGAATATTGTCTATGTCCTGCTAGCGAACTTTTTCCTCAGTGCGCCCTATGGCCGAAACTGGAACTGTAGATTACCCCCCCCCCCCCCCCCAATTCTTCGCCTGGAAAATGATCTCGCTGCTGACCATTCTTGCAGTCCTCTGGTCCTCAAGCCACGCTCATGCCTGGCAAATTGTTATCTTGTGTATTGTCTTCTTCGGGTTCGTCTGGGCAGGTTTCCTGTTCATCGTGAGCCGGTATCTGAAGGCCCACAGCTGGTTTCTCCCCCTGATAGCCTGCGGACTGCTGGCCCCACGGTGGGCGCAGATCTGGTGGGCCACTTCGGGGATAGGGTACTACCTGCCCTGGGTGTCTGGAGGCTATGTCGGTGGGGCGCTGGCATCCCGCAGTCTCTGGCTCTGGCTTGGGGTCCTCGATAGTATCCAGGGTCTCGGGTTCGGCATCATTCTGCTCCAAACCCTGACGCGGACACACATGCTCTTCACCTTGATCTGCTCCCAAGTGTTCGGATCCATCGCCACCATCGCGGCCCGAGGCTTTGGCCCCAACAAGCTCGGCCCCGGCCCAGTCTCTCCTGACCCTACCTTTGGGGCCAGCGCGGTGGCGAATGCATGGTTCTGGGTTGCCCTATTCTGCCAATTGATTATCTGGTACGTCGCTATCTCTCCTATGCCTGTCGGGACGGGGACCATACGCTAACGCTGGACTGTAGTGCTGGCTTTTTGCTTTTCTTCCGCAAAGAACAGCTGGCGAAGCCCTGAGCGTCACAAGGATGACTGACATCGGTCTGATTTAAAGACCCTTGAAGAAAGATGAATCGTGCCAGAGTTGTCAATCTGGTCGAAGTCCTAATGCCATCTGGCAAGGCACGATGAGACAATTTGATGGCTACGAGCCTGATCACAGCGGAGAACATCATGTACTGTAGATTATCAGGCGATCCGCCAATATGTAACGCAGGGTTCCGTCGACTTTTGAGGCCGGGTAGTGAATCTGGCCATGATGTGCCAGATGTATCACCATTTCTGACTCCCCGTAGCAGCTCCCAATCTACATGTTCGACAATAGCATGTTGGCAAGCAGACGCAATCCACTTCCTTATACACTGAACCTCGCGTGTGTACAGTCCAGCTCGGTACAATAGCGCGGAGCAAGCTCCGTCAATCTATGATTGCCAGCCCAGTTGCTTCATAGCAACTGATACAAAGCTGCTTAGTTCTTTGCCTTCCGAGCGACCACCGTTGGCTATGCAGCCATGCGTAGTCATAAGATTCAAGCCGCCGACTTCCCCCGCCGATATTTTAATATCCGTCGTAGTTCTAATAATAGCCAGCCCCGCTTGAAATCAGATGTACTGTACCGATTATGCACGATGCAAGCGTCACTGGTACCCGTTGGCCATCTCTCAAAGCAAACCGTGCTGCAGGCCCAGTCAAGGGCTGACAGCCGGGTTGGAAAAGTCCTGGACATGTGGTCTCATTTCTTGGCAGGGTTCGAAATCTGGGCCGCTTGGGCCACTCATACTGCCCTGTATTTGGCACGCAGTGATGTTGTGGTGTACAATGAGGGTTGGTTATAGCCTTATCGGTGACATGGCGTAAGGTAGGTCCATGTACTCGGTACTTTCTTCTCCCATGAGAGGAATGTACCCTGTGTGAATGATAAGCTGGGTCGACTTGAAGTTGAGGCAGAGAATCAGAGGTACCTGTGAACCTTAGCGATCGGCCGATCAAAGATATATCTGAGAAGCTGTCTATGTGAGCTACTCAGGCAACTGGAAGTCCGTCGATTTCGCCATGAGTCGATGCGCAGCCTCCAGAGGTACATATGTAGGCTTTCTGCCGCAGTTTCCCTCAATTCGTAACGACGATTGATCATATCTCTCGCGGTTACTCAGACACTCGATATTAGCATCATGAAAGTCCCGTTAGCCTTCCTGCTTTCGACAGCAGTCGTATCTGGCGGGGTAGTTCCATCCCCATCATACCCTGCGCTTTCTCCTGCAGCAACTGCCCTTCCGGCTTACACGGTGGGAGCGCCACCATTATTCCCAGGGGAGACCATTCAGTTGACCGAAGATGTCCTAAATGGTCTCGGAGTAAGTCTCGGGGACATGAGTCTTTTGAATCTGTTCTCCTTCGGCAGTGCGCAACCTCAAGCCAAGACCACCCGTCAGTGTAAGACAATGCCCGGCGACGCTGCCTGGCCATCACAGTCAACATGGGACCTCTTCAATCAGCTGCTCGGGGGAAGCCTTCTGCGGCCTGCCCCACTCGCAGCGCCGTGCTACTCAGGATGGTCGCAATTCGATAATGCAACCTGCTTTCACCTGAGTATGAACTGGATCAACTCTTCCCTTCAGTGAGGATTCCACCCCTCACCCCGAGTATCCGTCTTGCGCCCAGTGAGTCTAACGGCCTGATCACTAGCATCCAACATCCGACCTCTGTCTTGAGTCCTCTGTACGAGGGGCGTACTTGCATGCCCTTTGGCTTTAACTATACCAACATGTGCACTGTGGGCGGTTACCCGACGTACGTGGTGAATGCATCGACCGCTGCGCAGGTTCAATTGGCCGTGAACTTTGCGCGGAACTCGAATCTGCGCCTTGTAGTGAAAAACACCGGTCACGACTTCAACGGGAAGTCGACCGGGAAAGGCGCATTGTCCATCTGGACACACTGGTTGAAAGACAAGGTCTTTTACCCTACCTTCGCGGCCGACGACGGTTATGTGGGACCCGCGATGAAGCTTGGGTCGGGAGTCCAGGCTTTCGAGGCATACGAATTCGCCAAACAGTCCAACGTGACAGTCATCGGTGGTGAAGGCGTGACTGTGGGCTTGGCCGGGGGATACACCCTCGGCGGGGGGCATTCACCGTTGAGTAGTCTGTACGGCTTGGCAGCAGATCAGGTATTGGCCATACAAGGTGATCGACCCCCAACTGCCCCTTTCCGGAACCCTCAATACTGACAGCCGATAGTGGTTCTCGCGGATGGTCGGTTCATCACCGCCACGGCCAAGCAGCACGCGGACATCTACTGGATGCTGTGTGGCGGCGGTGGAAGCACCATCGGGGTCGTGACCTCCATCACCGTGAAAGCATATCCTCAGATCTCTGCGACCACCGTCACTTTCAACTTCTCGGTCGCCGACACCCCCGGTCCCGATGCGTTCTGGGCAGGGTTCGAATCCTATCTCGACAACATTGAGCGTCTGGTCGACGCCGGAACCTATGCATACTACGACCTGGGTGCATCGGCTGCGGAACGAGGCACCAATTTCCCCGGGGACAGGGACTATTACCTGCGAATCCAATCGCTCCTGGCGCCGAACATGACCATCACGGAGACGAAGCATCTTCTGCAGCCGTGGTTCGACCGGCTTGACACTCTAAACATCCGCTACACCCCGCAATACAACTTCGCGGATAACTTGTGAGTGGGGGGACGCATTATCGTGGCGGGCATTCCCCAGTTTCCCCACTAACCCCGTCGCGCAGTCACGATGCATGGAAATCTGCCTTTCCACAGGAACACATGGGGGCTGCGACGACGAAGATCGCCTCGCGTCTTCTCCCGCGCAAGGCATACCAGGACGATGGTCTCCGGCACCAGAACTTCCTCGCGCATAAGGACGCGGTGGCAAACGTACGCTGCTGAGGGGCTGCGTTCCCCTTTCCCTTCCCTCCCGGACGATTCTTTCCTCGACCCGACTCTGTATACTGACATGACCAAGGGCTTTTCCATCGCGGCCTTCCATTTCACCGGAAGAGGCAAACTCGTCGAACCGCCCCAGAACAACGCGGTGCTGCCCGCCTGGCGCGAAACCCTGACGCATGCCATTGTCATCGGCCAATGGAACTCGACCTCGAGCTGGGACGTCGTTGAGCATACCTCCCGCTCGCTGACGCAGTGGATGCAGGCCATGCGGGACCTGGGGGAGTCGGGCGTCTACATGAGCGAGGCGGATCTGCTGGAACCCGACCTGCAGAATGCCTACTACGGGGTCAACTATCCCCGTCTGTATGCGCTCAAGCAGAGGTATGACCCGACCGGGGTGTTCTTTGCTCTCACCGCGGTCGGAGCGGAGGACTGGACGGTCTTGGTGGAGGATCCTGTGCCGGAGTCGTGGAATACCAACGGCCGGCTGTGTCCTCGGAGGAGCTGACCTGCGGCGAGCATGAGACGGTGTGCAGGTTATGGGGGGATTGGGTATGTCCGTTTCTATGGGACTGCAGCAATACCTGAAACGTGCTTGGCCGCACATCGCGTGGCCTAGCAGCCGTGCTGATTCCAATTCCGATGATCTTGTTTTCTGTGTTGCGATTGTCAACTGTGGGAGCTGGTAATGGGAGTCTTTCTTGTTGACGCTAGAGTTACATGTGTCGGCTGAATGTGATGGTTCTGAAGTCATCAGGAGCAAGTAATGAACCACGCTGGGAGTAGTCCCTGCCTGGCCTGGAGCGCAGATTAAATGTCTTCAGGACTCTATTGCGCACAGAAAGTCTTGTATATAAGAGGGATCATGCAATGTCCCCATCAACTGGGGGTATCATTAAGTCAACTTTCAAAGGCTCTCGTGCTGGGCTTCAATACAACAAATTGGCTATGACCCATGAAATTCGGCCGTAACTCAGGCTGCTTGCTACGCCTGTCGAATGTTGCCAGGATCATTTTGCTCATGGGCCTACGATTGAACTGGCAGATTTGACCGCTCCGGCTAGACATTTCCTCGTCGAAGCCATCCAACACCCTCTGAATAACTCCCCTGAGCATGGCTCGGCGCCAGTCCAGGGTCAGCCCCCATCACCCCGTCCAGTCGACTATCAATTCGGAACCAGCTTACAGGTAGTGGTTGTACCAACCGGGGCGGGAGGATGAAACGAGCGAAGTATGTACCCAATGCGCATCTAGCGATCTATTGAACAAGGAACTGGATCTATCTAACGGTCACAGGATAAACATCGGTGAAAGTCTATGGAACGAGTGTAAACACGAACACCTCACAGGGCGGCGGGGGAGTAAAGGAAGGACACACAGGAGACAAGAATAGCAATCGAGAGTCAGGCACAGACCCAGATCATCATGTACAACGGGAAACAAAAACAGGACAGTGATCACATCGGATCCGAAAATACAGCCAACGCACAGTCCATCATCAACAACGGAAAACTGGCGAACCTCTCCCATAGCTCCGTCGGATACCGGGTGAGGGTCCCCATTCGCATGCCATCGATGACGCATCACTCGGCCTTCTTGGAGGCCTTGGTCCGCAGCTTCATCATCAGGAAGACGAGCCCGTACGAGCTGAAGACGAAGATCACGACGATGGCCGTGTTCCGCCACCCGTCGTAGTAGTGGGGTAGATTGAGGGTCGCCAGGTAGTCCGATCCCCGGCTGTAGGGGCAGACCTCGCACTGCGTGGTCGCACCGGGGTTGAGCAGGTCGGCAGCAGACCCCAGGGTCTCCAGGTAGGTGGACAGGTACTGCCCGCAGGTGGAGTTGGCCGGTGGATCGAAGATGGCCAGCTCAGACTGGGTGCATCTGACGTCGGTACCCCACACGGTAAAGACCAACATGCTGCCCATCAGATAGTTGAACGGGTTCAGGTAGTACATCCAGTACCGCCAGAAGACATTGATCTCCGCGTAGGGCACCATAACACCGCAGAAGGAGACGAGGATCCCGATAACCAGCGGGTTGGCCAGGGAAGCGAACAGGGCGTTGGGCGCGTATGCAGCGATGAACTGTCCAATTCCAGTATATAGAAACTCGTACATCAGCATCACAAAGAAGGTGGCCCCCCCCTTGTTCGAGTCCGAGCTGAACCCAACTGTGTAATACCAACAGACATAGTAGAGGATACCGCATACGCACAGGTAGGGAAACTCAGAGATAATCAGCGCCGTCACAAACGCCTTCCACGAGTACATGCGCGAATTCTTTTCCCGCGTATCGTAAATGTCTCGCCGCTCGATGAACAACGGTTGGAGCTGGTTGATCACACCGGCGGCCACAAAAACGAAATTGAAGACAGTAAAGAGACGAAGCTGCATGTCGCTGACGCTGTCGCCAATCATCCAGAAGGTAAAGCCGTTGAAGAGGGCAGACGCGATGTGCAGGGCAACCTTGTTGTTGATGTAGTCTGTGTTGCGATAGAGGGCGAGATTCATGCGACGCGGGACGATCTTGGTCTGCTCCCACAGGGAAAGAGCAAATTCGCTCAGGTCCGGCTCGCCGACTGGGCGCTGCTCTGCCTCCTTGACCATCTGTTCAAGCTCACTGAGCCGCTGAGTGTGCTCGGGCGACTCCATCCAGACCTCATGCCAGTCGCGTTTCGACAGGCGGCCAGTGACCACGTCGATCATGAACTCCGCCGGATTCGACTCGGGCGGACAAGTGACCCCGTTGCGAGCAAAGTAATCCTTCATGGTTTGTGCATTCTCCCCGATATCACCGAAGTACACCATCTTACCCCCCTTGGCGAGTAACAGCAGTGTATCGAACTGCGTAAACAATTGAGCCGAAGGCTGATGGATGGTAACGAGAATTGCTTGCCCTAGATCTGCTAATCCACGCAGAAATGGTACTGTGTTGAAGGCCGATTGACCATCCAATCCGGAGGTGGCTCATCGAGAAAGATGAGGATCTTGGGCTTGGATACAAGCTCAACGCCGATCGTCACCCACTTTCGTTGTTCAATACTAAGGCCCGCCCCGGGTTTTCCAATTAAGATATCCGCGATATCATGAAGCTCAAGCAAGTCAATAATAGCATCAACATAGGCGAGCTTTTCCTCTCGAGGGATATGTGCGGGCTGTCGCAGTAAGGCCGAAAATTCCAGTGCTTCCCGGACGGTCGTCATAGCCTCGTGGACATCCAGCTGCTCACAATACCCGGCGGATCGTTGAAAGGAGACATCAAGAGGGCGGCCATCCACGAGAATTGAGCCTTGGATCGTGCCATCTGTCTTGCGTTGCGCCAGGACATCCAAGAGAGTGGTCTTCCCTGCTCCGGATGATCCCATCAGGGCTCCGAGCATGCCTGGTTTGACCCAGCCATAGATGTCATTCAGAAGAACACGGTCGCCCTGCGGGGTTTTGACGGTATACTTGAGATTCTTCCAGGTGAATATCGAGGTGTTCCGGGCGATGGTGGCTGCGTTGGGGGTGGGGGAGATGGCTGCCGATGACTTGTCCGACCGGCGGTCGTCCGGAGGGGCCTGGGACTCTTCATCGACTACGACACGGCCTTTCCGGGCCAATTCGTAGGGAACCAGGCGCGTGGCCCCGGTGGCGCCCCGGTCCCGCCAAAGCATGGTTGCCAGTACTGTGATGCCAACAAAGAGCGCCCACCAGCACCACACGATGCCGAAATTCCGCCAGACGTGGCTGTGACTGTAGCTCAGTGAGTGCAGGTATTGATCGCCCGTGAGCGAGACCTCCCCGTGCACGGCTCCACCGACGCCAGTACAGGAAGCCTGCCCCGGAGTGGCCGAATAGCCGGGGCCAGCGGGGATAATATTGCCCCCGACGCAGTCGATCACCTTATCGTGGAACTCATTGGACAGCACGGACTCAAAGGCGTACGCGAGCGGATCGATCCAGTAAATCCAGACAAACCACGGGTGCATGTCGGGTTTCTTAATCATATAACCCGTATACATGACCAAGGCGGAGATCAGGAATCCGGACACTTTGGACGCCCCGTCAAAGGTGCGGAAAGCCGCACCCACCGCACGGAACATAGCTGCGATACACTAGGGGCGCGACAACAGTTAGTTATTGCGGATGGTTTCAGCTATAATCGGCTCTGCCACTCACCATTGTCGTTGCGAAGAGCATAATCCAGTAGGTAAAGAACGCCGCTGCCGAGGAGGTGAGGCCGACCATGAAGTAGATGATAATCCCAAAGACCGTGATCTGAATCAGGGCCATGGGGATATCTGCGGCGATCTGAGCATACAGAAGGCGGCCGGGTGAAAGTAGGCGAATGACTTGTGCTTAATCAGGACCGGACGGCCCGTGAATGAATCCACAACCTCGGACATTCCCATTAGCGCGTTGTAGAGCAGGGAAAAGAAAAGCGTGCCGCCCCGAATGAACAGTCCTGATGAATCGGCGGCGGCGTTGTAAATTAGCGAGCCCGCGATTAGGGCCTGGACGAGCGTAGACATTTGCTTGATGGCGAAGGAAGCCATGTCGCCAAAGGTGATTTGATACTATCGCTGGACGCACGTCCATACCTGCTGTGGGAAGGTCACTGTCATGGGGTCCGTGGCTTTCACGCCTTTTTGCTTCTCGAATGCCACGCTGGCGCAAAAAGCCTCCGTGTTGGCCTGGGCCGAGGGCGAGGAAGGATAGGCGTACTGCCTCTCCATGTTTTTGCGAATCACCGAGCCCTCGTAAATCTACAGGATTGCGTCTGCGGTCTCCGGGAAAGTGCGGAAGGAGGGGTCGATAAGACGCTCGGTAGGAACAGTGAGACCAGTCAAGTAATCGCCGATGTTGGCCCCAGGCCGGCAAACGAAGCCCAGGTTCTCCATGAACGGCCGGGCCTCGACGCGGGGGCCATAGAAGATCTGCTTGCCTTCGTCCAGAACGAGTACCTTGTCGATGAGATCGTAGATGCCGTTTCCTGCTTGGTACAGGGTCACAATCGTGGCCAGCCCCAACTCAGTGGTCATATATCGGAGGGCACGCGCCCAGTCCAGCGCCGAGCTTGCATCCAGCCCACGGGTACTATTATCCCAACAGTAGACGGAGGCATTGGTGGCCAGGCATTCGATAATAGAGACCCGTTTCCGCTCCCCTCCCGAGACTCCTCGCACGTACTCGTTGCCGACCTTGGTATTCTGCGTGTGTGCAATTCCCATCGACTCAAGCAAGAACTCCTTGCGCTCCTGGCGGTATTCCTCGGCCGTCTGGGACTGACCGTTCTTGGCGTTGGCGGGGATATGCCCCGGGACCTTCAGACGGGTGGCGAAATCCATCGTCTTATTAACGGTGAGCGAGGGATAGAAAAGTTCGTCTTCGGTGTTCATGGCAATCTGACCCCTGTAGGGGTGTGCCTCGTCGCTGGTCATGGAGCCATAGTGAACATCCCCTTCGACCTGAGCATAACCTTCCCGGTGGTTGGCGAGAATTTTGAGCAGGGTCGTACAGCCCGCCCCTGGCCGGCCCAACACCAAAAGCATCTCACCCGGCTTGACACAGCCATGCGAGTCCGACACGATGGTCTTCAATGCCGGTTTTTGGCGCACCTGCCGTGCCTGCCGAACGAACCACATCAAATTGACTGAGCACGTTTTCGTTCATGGCGGCCCCTGAGCTGATGCCCTTGACCGTCAGATTCCGTCAGGTAACCCCCAACCTCCGCTCAGGATATCCTTCCTCACGCATGTTCTGATGGAACGTCTGTACCAAGGGGCCCAGCTCCCATCCACCGGAGTCTAAATTATGCAGTGTGATCTCCTCCGGTTGAGTGATGCTGCCCTGATTGGGGCCGCCAGGCAATTTGTTGGCCATGACCCTGTGGTAGTAGGCCCCAAGTGTCGGTTGGAAGATGCGGCTTGGGCAGAAGCGAAGCGAACAACCGAGAATGAAAATGAGAAACGCAGAATTGAGCGACAGGAAGACCTGTAGTCAAGTAAGAAATGAGTAGTGAGGGTCCACAGTACTTTGGAGAGATTTCAAATCAGGTGGATGGTGTTGTAAATAAAGGAATGGATGACTGGGTGAGGCAAACAGCAATTAATCAAATCAAAGGAACGAGGGCGAACCAACAGCGAAAAGACGGAAACTCTCGAATTGGTCACTGGCTGAGGATAAGGGGGTGATTATCAAATAAGATGAGAACCGACATGCCCGTGTATGCATGTATCATCATGTATAAGAGTTGCTAGGGCTAAATGGGGTAGGGGTCCAGCTCCCGTATAGTGTATTGTATAGTTTGAGCATTATGACTGGCGCGGAGGATCCCCGGAAGATCCTCCGCCCGCAAATGCCGACCTGCCGCGATTTCGGAGGATGTCACGTGGCTGCCACTTTGCAATGCAAGATTTGCCCAAATGCTTATCTTCTCCGAGGTAACTTATTCGTACTGTATACTATCCGAGTACGACCATTCCAGAGCCTCCGACCGATCTCTCCTGGCTAGACTAGACTACGTATTTCCTTTCCCGACCCGAAGACCCACCATCGTTCTGGAAGACTTGGGTCTTCTGGCTTAACTTCCGGCTCCCGCCTGTTAGTTCGACTTGAGGAAAGACTAGATTTCGAACAACCTTTTCTTTGTATCCAAAAGGAAGAAGAGAGAGAAAAAAAAAAAAAAAAAAAAAACAGCACGGAAAAAATGAGAGAACAAAGCGTTATTTACACTCGCCCCTTCTAAATAGCAGAAAGTGAGCACAATGTAACTTAGTTGACCTCTCCCCTAGCATCATAAAATTGAATTCCCTCACTCACATCTACCTCCTCCCTCTCATCTTTTTCCACCCCATCCTCCAGTCGAGTCCAAAGGCGGTCAGAAACATGGACAATCAATTTCAAGCACCGTCGGGAGGTCGTTCTGGTAAACACACCCCCCGAGCCTGTGACTCATGTTACAAGAGGAAGGTGAGCATTTCCGCGGCGCTACCGACGACCCCCTCTGTCTCGCGTGCTCCATGACAGCTGGACAATGGCAACTGAACGGATGGTATATCAAATGCGACGCAGCATTGCCTCGATGTAACTATTGCAGTCACCATAATTTTTTGTGCACATTTACACGTCCAGGACGAAAAGTCGCTGGTCAGCAACTGGCGAACAAAGCGTCGCCGTCGGTGGTCCAGGGTCTTCAGGGTCAGTCCAGCCCTAGCTCGCTCGGCACAGACTCCACATGATCTTATCCTGTATGAGTAACTAAAGGACCCCCCCGTGCTGTCTCGCAGTCGAGAACGAGACTTCATCCCCAAATCCCCAAGAGACAAGGGATAGCAGCCTCCTCCGCAATGACCGATCCCTCGGCAATCCGCCCGTGGGCCTACACTTCGCCGGGCGAAGACAGCCCCCGCTGACCTTGATCTGGGGGGTTCCGACCTTCTCTCCTGAGGCGAAGCACTGGGTTCAATGCACCACTGGGCAGACCATGGCCTTTGCCAAGGTCTATGACGAGGGCGCACCGGGGGAACGGCTGGTCTGCCTCGACGCCGAGATCATCCGCATCAGGTCTCAAACGACGGATATCTGTAGCCTCCCCCGACAAGCCTTAATCGAGTCAGTCCTGCAGGCATACCAGTCCTCCCGCCTCCGTAGCCGATACCCCGTGGTGGAGCCCACCCTGTTCCGAACCACAATTGCCTCCGCATATAACCAGGACAGACTCACCCTGGACACGCGCAATGCCAGTAGTCGAGCCTGTGTTTGCGCCTGCTTGGCCTTGATTCCCTTGATCTTGGAAGACTACCATACCCTCTCCCCGGCCGAGTGTGATGCCTTCGCGACCAAGGCCAAATGTCTCATGGGGGAAGCGCTCAACGGGTCTCCCTCGTTGGAATGTTTACAAGCCGCCGTCATGTTGGTCGGTTCCCCTGCAGCCCTTTTGCTCTCTCGTGTCCCTGGTCTCCGGAGGTTGATAGTCACTGACTTCTTGGCCTTCACGCCGCATGTTCCTCACCTCAGAGTCTTCATGGCATGCTCACCAGATCCCTCCAGACGGCAATTTATTTCAATATCATAGCGGCACGTTTGGTGTTCATGCTGGGTGGACACATCACTGATCACGAGATTGGCGCTTCGTCGCCCGATTCAGACCAACGCGCGGCCAGTCACGCCCGGAACCTATTCTGGCTTTGTTATTTGACAGATAAAGACTTAGCCCTGCGTTGTGGTCAGCCGCCTGCAATTGAGGATTCGCAGTGTGACCTGACCTTACCCCCCAACTATACGCAAAATGTGTATCCGACAGTCGGCCTTTCAACGCACGACCTTCCGGATACCATCATCTTTCCATTTGACATCCGCCTGGCGATGATCAAGAGCAAGATCTTCGCCAACATCTACTCGGCATCATCGCTCCGCAAGTCCCAGTACGCAATCGAACAGAGTATTCGCGAGATTGAACAGAACCTCGGAAACTGGAGAAACTCTATACCTCCTTCCTGGCAACCGCCCCCGGTTGGTCTTATGACTGAGCATGCGGTTACGCTTCGCCCGCCGCGTAACATTCTCCTGACCTGGTTTGAGTATTACCAGTGCGCATGCATGCTACACTTGGTCCGCGGCCATTATGGGACTTCAGTGGGTATACATCACGTGAAGGGCGGTAGCCTGCTGTTATCCAACCTTGCAGTTTCCGTGGAGGCCAGTCGACGGATTCTCCATCATCTAGAATTCGCTGTATCCTTCCAATCGTCTGATGCCTCGTGGTGAGTCCCCTGCCCCTCCCTACCTGTCTCCCTCCTTCCGTCTTCCCCACGCGCTTGCGGCTCTCATGTCGGTCTTTCAGTTCTGATGCCAGCAGGATCGCTACCTTCTCCGTGCCATTGGCCTCCATCGTTGTCTTTTGGAGTATCCTGCAGGATCCATCGAATGCATCCGCTCCAGACGATGTCCAGCTACTCCTATCGGCCAGCGGGTACCTTGCGACGTGTCACCGGACTCTTGGGCTGCCGGCGCCTATTCTCCAACATTTCACCTCCATGTCCCATTATATTAGGGAATTCTACCGACTGGGTTTCGCGGCTACCTCGTCCTCGGTCCTGGTCTCGAATACGCAACTGCGGGCGCACTGACAGTCACGTTCGGGTTGGTCAAGTTGCGAGGGGTGGGGGGGCATTGCATCTTTCGGGGTTGTAGTAAGCGGATTAATGTACACCACACGGTCGAGATTGTTCGAATCGTAGGTCTTGCACGTTCGCACCAAAGATCGACAGCACCTGACGCCACCAATCTTATCGTGTACCGTAGCTTCTTCCAGGCTCTACCCATTCTTGGGCTCAGAACAGAGGGGTTTCGACGAAGGAGAGCCCACTGTGCCTGCACCTGCATACCCGGACTCCGAAACGCCGCATCCGATGGAAGACTGGGACATCACCTACAATGTATCTTCCAACCAACTAGTTAAGTCCAACATAGTTTTCATGCGGGAAACTTGGGCGGGTCGCACGATTCAAGGTTCCCTTATCCGCGACCCAGTTCATTCTAAATCTACCTCGTTGCATCCATTCGAGCCTCTCGAGGTTAATCAAGTGGGGTACGCGGATGCGGTTCGGCTTTTTTCTCGGTTGTCCCCTTCCGCTTAGTCATGAGACAGTCGCCCGGTTTTGCAATACTCACCACTCACCACACTTTCAGTAACACTTTCAGTACATTTCGCCGATCAGTGCTGCGTAAACCATGCTTGTAAAAATTTCGATTCTCAATGGTGACCATCAGTTCCGAGCCGAGCACGGATGTCCTCCTCTCCCTTCTTGCATGTTGTGTTCATTGAAGTACGGCGGATTCTTCACGGCACTTGCTGAATAAGCATCGTTGGTCAAACGGTTACGATTCTTGTCTTCCAAACAAGCGGCCCGGGTTCGACTCCCGGACGATGCAATGGTTTTTGCCCGCGGCTTGTGCAGATCGTCCAACTGTCAGGGCACGCGCACTCAACCTTTTTGCTCTTCTTTGACCCAGCACTTAGCTTGTAACAGTATTGAAAGGGTTGTCGCCGTCCAATGCGCTCGTCTGAACCTGGTATGGAGCTACGAACCCCGTGCCGTGACCGGTCCGAGCGGGAGAAAGATGCCAGTAAATAGAATGCTCATGAGGCTATGTGGCGTACACCAACAGCCCGCATCCCTCGGTCTAAACAACTTACCTGTAACTTGAAAAGAGACCCAAATGTATAGAAGCGTATATGACCAAGAGGTTACAAACTGCGCTGCTGCATCATAGGAGCCACGCAGGATCCCGAGCATCCATCCGCACCAGCATGGAAGTCAACCTCTTCTTGCCTTACCAGCTATGCAAGGTCGGAGGAGTTCCCAGACGGGTTACCGAATCTTATATGAACATGACATGTGTGACATAATCGCTATTACGATTTTTGCATCCCGCTTTTCGCCATTAACAAGGTGGACCGTTGTCAAAATGCGATAGCCATCTGAACTGCTTCAAACATACAGGCTCAATCGCGCGGCATCAATCACACAGGTCGTACAGCTTGCATCGATGTCCTCTCGCAAGTCACACCTACTGCCCGACTGTGTTCGCAGGGATACAGAATGAACACCCGATTCTGCTGAAGTTGAACCGGCGCATGCGCACTCCTCGCCCCAACCCATGTATACCAGAGCCAATAAATGAGCACTTGGTATTGAGCTCACAGGCGCTCCGTGAGCGAGAGATCAGTATGTTTTCCACAGCCTTTCATTCATCCCTGCTCAGTCACAGCAAGCCGTGTCCACCAGCAGCATCGAGGCTTCTGGGCTGTTGCCTCCGCATCACGAAGATAGATACACAGGAGGTTGACCTGAGCTGGCCGTCGGCGCAAGGGAGTCTCAGTCCACCTCCATCGACGTATGCTGCCTTGGAAGATGTAGTCATCCCTTTGGCAAAAATGAGAGATTCCGATACTTCGATAATGAGCAGTGTATCACCAAACTATGTGAATATGCGTGGTATCCACCGCCCAAGACGAAGGCATATATGACAAGCCAGACCAAAGCCTCCCTGGAGGCTGCCGCAACAAAAAATCAAGATCACTGCATCGTCCGGGAGTCGAACCCGGGCCGCTTGTTTGGAAGACAAGAATCGTAACCGTTTGACCAACGATGCAACATGAAATATAGTAAGGTCTGAGATACCCCTTGAAGCCAGCTATCAGGATGATGCTATCCAAGCCCACAGGCACCGGTAATCACCACGGTGGGAAAGCAATGTGTATCCCGGGGCAATAACGACCATTACCGTCCAATCCATCACTGGCCACAACACGAGACACACTGGGCAGAAAAGTCCAACTCCGACCAGTCCTGTTTCCATTACAGCGACGAATGGATTCTCCCAAGACGCTGCAGGCAAAATGAGCATGATTGCGGCTTCAAGACCTGGGCCCTCTGCGCTGTACAGTACACATTCCATCACCCTTGACACCGTCCCACTCCACAGCTACGATGAGCGGAAGCCTGGAGATGAGGCCACTTCGCGCTCTATGCTCCCTCCATTATTGTTTGTTGATTTTGGCAGCGCGCCTGCCAAATGCATAGAATGACACTATCGACAGTTGTTGGGACAATTACAATAACTATATGACGAACATCATCAGGATTGAGGAGACGCGGATATATGCTGATATATGGTATCACACTACTGAATTTAACGGAACCATGACAATGTTGACAGAAAGGGGCGATTCCAATTTATTCGTCATTTTAGACTGTTATATCAAAAATTAGTAGCTTCATGAAGAGTTGGCCGGATGGTGTAGTTGGTTATCACGTATCGTTAACACCGATAAGGTCCTGGGATCGAGCCCCAGTCTGGTCATTCTTTTTTAAGTCTCCACGCAGCATGCACACAGCGAACTACTTATTTACTGGCACTGTTGAACTTTCTACCGTCGATTGAAAAGGAGACCTCGGCATATGCTGAAGATTGAAGTTGGTAAGATGAAAAGGATCCAGTATGGTCCCGCGCCGATAGTACACGAGTACAGGGCTTCGTAGTTACCCGCAATGGCAATTTTCCGTCCACTTCCTACAACCACTATTCGCATACTGTGGCAATAACATTAATAGACATGGTATACAGTGCATTGACCTTCCCCCTCTATAAACGACTCAGCACGGCCTCCTCTGATCCCTCCCCAATGGCCTCCACCAGCACGTCTGCCAGTCGTATCGGCATGGACAAAAACGGCGAGTGTGATGCCGGAAGCCGGTATGTGTTTTCCGGACCCGCGACCTTTGCGGCAAACCCCTCCTGGAAGGCCGGCGGCATGGCCTGGTCTTGCTCGCAGATCACGTATGCACAGGGGACCTCGCTACTCCAAGGTTCATGCATCACCTTGCCCGCAAAGACGGCGCGGGAGGTGTGGTGTGTGAAGGTATTCCATTGAACCTGCTCGTCGAGCGGGAGGTCTTGCCAGCCGATGTGGCTGGATCCATCGATGTGGACATAGTCGCCCTGGGATTGTGCAGAATCAGCTTTTGTGGACCTTACACGCTCCAGGCGCAGCTCTACTCGTGTGAGATTGACTCGCACCGTCGCCTGCTGGAGACAGCCTACGTTAGGGGGGTGGTGCGACATACTTCCACCTGCATCCAGGGCAAAAAGCTCCCACCCAGCATCTCGAGTAGGCTTTGCCCGCGATCGAGTGCAAAGGCGGCGAGATAGATCACTTGAACGACTCCGCCGGCCTGGCCGCTCTGCGCACGTGTGGTCTTACTCAAGCCATCCACTGCGTTAGATGCTACCACACCGCCGTAGGAGTGAGCGACAACGACAATCTCGTTCTCGGCGTCGGCGAGATTCGTCAAGAGTCTTCGGAGAGAGGCAACATCGTCCGACAGGGTCTTGGAGGGAGGCTCAGCTCCAATTGAAGGATGGGCTGGACATTTGGATGCAAAGCCGAGATCTTGGAGTTGAGCTCGAAGGGCATGGAAGAAAGGGGGGGTGATCCAAGCCCCAAGGGAGAAGACGATGACCGGGGAGTTCATCCTGGGAGTGCAGAGGAAAGCAGTTCGGAGAAAAAGGCATGCGGCGATCAATGCATCAGATGCGGAAATTGCCGGGGGTGGGGAGGAGGGGGGGGTGTTGGTCTATTATAATCCGGATCCCCCTCCCGCGGGCAGGGGCCGTGAGACCAAGGCACGTTGTGAGCCGTTGATGGTCCTATCTCATGACTCGCGTTCGCGCACAGCGCACGGCCTGGTTGGCTGCTTATTGCCCGGATGTTGAGCCGATAAATTTGTCAGGTGGGGTTCGAGCCTAATCCCCCGCAATGGTTGGCCTGGTAATTACGGTAGTCTCCCCCTAACAATTGTCTATCTACTAGCTTCCCTTTCGACTACATCTTAGGGCATTGACTACCTACCTACGTACCTGCTAGCCTACTAGGGAGCTACCTAGCTAGTCTAGGTGCTTACTATCCGTCCCGTGTCAAGGCTCCAATCATCGTGTTTCTTTGTCTGCTCACTCCCCTTTTCTTCTGATCCCTGTCTGCGCGCTGGCATAAATCGAGTGTGTTCCTCCAGGCTCCAATGGCATCCACACCGTTGTCATGGCTTTTGTCGACCCGCGTCAGTCGACTCAGCCTCATCAAACGGTGACAACTATCATAGTTACGGCTCTGGCCATCTTTTTTGTCTTCCTCCGACTGCTAGCTCGGGGTAGGAAGCGTGTACGGCTAGGCCCCGATGATTACACGCTCATTGTCGGATTGGTATCTGCTATCTCTTTCCGATTTCTTGCGGTTATTGGCTAATGTGCACTAGGTCTTTGTGATAGTAATTGCAGCTGTCAACCTCGCCTGTCTGGGCCAATTGCCATAACTGCAATGAGCTGAACCGTACTGACGGTGTCTGCCTAGGTATTCACTATGGGATGGGCCGCCACACGTCTCGCATTCCACCGGCCGATCTACTCATTTTCTCCCAGGTACGATCATTGTATTTTCATGTCACCTAGTTCGCGTGATCGTTGACGTGTCCTTTACAACACAGCTCCTATACGCATTCGAGCCTCTCTATATCACCACAGTCGGCATCATCAAAGTCTCCGTTCTTCTGATGTATCATCGCATCTTTCCAGTCCGTCTCATCCGCGTCGCGGGCATCCTCCTCGCTACCATCACTGTCGCCTGGGTCATATCCGTCGACCTTGTCGCCATCTATCAGTGCACGCCCCTGGAGAAAGCGTACAATACCCCCCTGGCTGGTCACTGCATAGACCTCAAAGCCGCGTTGATCGGCAATGGGGTTCCGAACTTCGTCACGGACATCTGCATCCCCGCCCTACCCGGTCAGCTCATCTGGAAAATCCACGTCGGTTTCAGCCAGAGGATCTCAATCTTGCTTGTCTTCCTGAGCGGGAGTTTGTGTGTGACACGAAATTCATCTCTCTCCGCTGTCGACGATTTGTGGAACGCTAATACGATTCCCTTTTCTGTTAGTGTCGTGTTCGCCAGCATTTACCGATTTAGTCTTATCTTCTCCTTCGAGATTAATGATATCGCTTGGACCCTTGCCGACGCGGAAACGTGGTGTGTCGTGGAGACTGCAGCGGGCGTGATCTCTGCTTGTTTACCGACTGTGATCCCCATGATCAAGCATACTTGTTGTGGCCTGGGACATTCTCTTCCTCGGACAGCGTCCTCGGATGGAGGAGTAGGGGCTATCCTTCCCCCTGAGCGATGAAGGAGTACGTACGTGGGAGTTCGTGTGAATCAGTATCACTCTTCCAATGGGCAGCAGAGGTTTGCACTGGAGCGAGTTGAGTACTTGCAAAAGAACAGTACCTCGCAGCTTAGCATGGAACAAGGGGAAACTACCCCTGCGAGTCGAGGGAGTGGAGTATCATCATAATACGCCAACATTGCATTTAGCAGCTAATCACCGAATCTAAATATTCCATTCTGCTGCAAGGGCTATCTCAACGGAGCCGTTGTTCAAATACCACATGCTCTCCCCGCCGATCCATCTATTTGAGCTGCTCAACCCTGCTCCTTCGTTCCGCAGTGAATCTCCTATCCTCTTCCACCAACGTCCTACCCATCAAAGACGATCCCAGCAGAAAAGCGAGTGCACTGGTAACACTGCCAAAAAGGAGGGTGGGCGCTGGACTACCACGGGGGGAGGGGGCCCTTTTTCCTCGCAGCGAGCAGACTGTTAGTCACAGGATACGTGGGTCCCTATTGTTTGGAGTGGTGAAGCAGCCCGAATAATACTGACAGAGACAAAATAAGACCGCGCTGCGGCCGTAAACTACACAAGCATGAAGTGGGAGCGGGGTAAAAAAAGTTCTATTGAATGCATCATCCGTGAATCGAACACGGGCCTCATCGATGGCAACGATGAATTCTACCACTAGACCAATGATGCCGCTTGGTGAAGCGATTGACCTTTCTGGATCCGTTGGAGCAGCAGCACAGTCCTGGTCCCGAGTCAACTTCAATTGGTTGATCCCAGGGCTATTTCCAACCGAACGCCAAGCCAGCATCCTCTGCTCTCTGCTCGATTCCAGTGCGACTCCCATTGCCGAGAGGTTCTGTACTCAGTGTTACCGCGATCGCGATAGCTTCAGCTGTTATTGCATCCGGAGTAAGTTATACAATAGAGCGGAGAAGACCAGCGAGACTTCGGCCGACTATATAACCGGCCTGTGGCTCATACAAGACAGCACACGTATTTGGAGTATGCCAGACGCCACCGCAGATTTCACATTATCAAATCGAATATACTCTGTGGAAAGAGCTCCATGTGTCAAGGCCGCTCTGCCGCCATCCGCGCACTGCAGGCTGCTGCACCCCATCAAAACAGTATTTTACATAGGGAACCGCTACCCACACACCATTTTTCTGTCACCGCCTTCCGAATGGGAAAATATCATTGCTTTCACTGTTTACACTTCCGGCACGTGTTCTGACACGCCGGGCACCGGCATCTATACTCCACCACGTCAAGATGCCACCACTTCTTATCGTTCTTTTCAATGATGGTGATCATGCAGATCTCTTTGGTCTTGATGATGACGATCTGGAAGACATTAACGACGAAAGTCTTTTAATTCCCGACACTGATCTCGATGCTGATCTCGACGCTGATCTTGAAACTGATCTTGAAACTGAATCTGCTATGCTGCCCAAGTCTCTCATTCCTTCTCCCCTTATTGACTACCATTTCTTTACTAAAAAGCAGGCACTTGACTATATTGATGAGTCTACTGCGCAGTATGGGTATGCTTTGGCTACCAAATTTTCAAAACGCGATGCAAATGCAATGGAGATTTACGTCCGTTACCCACGCCGTGATTTTGGTGGCACCTTTCGCGAAAGTATTGATGAATCCGCCCGTAAACAAGAAAAAATTCAACAAGACTTGTGGACTGCCCATTTCAAGCGGGGCTCCTTAGGTTAAGGAATATGAATTGAATTGAATTGAATTGAATTGAATTGAATTGAATTGAATTGAATTGAATTGAATTGAATTGAATTGAATTGAATTGAATTGAATTGAATTGAATTGCAAAAAAACGGATAGTTCGAAGAAGGGTACGATGAGACGAAAGACGGATCACGGACGAGAGAGAATTCTGGATTGAGCGAAGAGGTGAAACCCTATATGGTCGCATATATGCATGGCAAATCACAGGACGGTAGAGTGTAAATGTATAGTACATACTCTCACCCGAAAGCAGGTTGTGCATACTAGATACAGTACTGTAGTTTATGCCTTCTGACAGCGGCCTGGGGCCTTGCCTGAGGCTGCTCGCTCCCCGCCCACCTCGGTGGCCTTGGCTAGTTCCCGCACTTAGCCTGACGTAAACGTAACTCAGTCACACCTCTCGGAGGCGTCATCACCTTCAGCACAACACTAATGCCACTAGGTACTCAGCAATAAGCACAAATCCAAAGTTCTCGTAGGCCACGTACAGACTTCTTCTTACTTGCACACCCCCGGTGTACTCCGTACAGGAACTTACAGCACATACACAGCTTACAGCAAGAGCTTTTTATTGCAAGATCACAGAGTTCCTCCCATCACCTTACAATCACGATCCATACCACCACCACCACCAACCAAGTATGGTACAGTCTCCCGCGGCATCCAATCCCCCCCCCCCCCCCCCCCCTCATATCAACATCCAGCAAAGAAAAATTGTTTTGCCTTGACAGCTACCCCTCACATTCCTCCCCAAGGAAAGGGAAATACATCGTCTCCGAGCTCTCCGCCACCGCCTCCAAGAAGGCCGGGATCAACGGCTCCATCCCCAACTCCATCGCCTTCGCCGACCATTCTGGCAGCCCCAGCTCCGCGAACGGGCGACCGTGGATTTTCTCCATGTACTCCTTGAAGCTCTTGACTGGGATTCTGACATTCCCCGAGTGGTGGCGGAAATGAACAGACGATGACGACGAGGATGAAGAAGGCGTTGTGCTGTCCGATACCGATGAGGTCACCTCGGAGGCAATTCTCTCGGCGATGATCTCGACTTTCTGGAAGTCGAGAAACCCGCCCATGTTGGTGAGTCGGGGAGTGGCGCTGAGGCGGTCCGAGAAATGAAGCAAGGAATTGAGGGCGTCCTGGTCTGGTGCGTTGTCACCGATCGGGGTGCATGGCCGGTGGATGTAGACGGACAGTCCGGTTCGGTCGGCGAGGTGCTCCAGGAACGCCTCGCTCGCCCATTTCGTAGCCGTAAATCCCTCAGAGCCGCTGGCGAGCGGCGGGTGGGACGCGACGGAGATAGGGCCCAGAGATGTCTGGCCTGATTGAAGGATGACACGCGGGGAGGAGACGTAGTGCAGGGGGATTCGGGCTCGACGCGCAAATGCCGCGAGGAAGTGCGTGGACCTCACGTTAGGCGTTCGGAGGGAGCTATAAGTGTTGAGACAGTGTCCACGCGCCCCCGCGTGGATGATCACATCGACACACGATTGCAGGGTGTCCGACTCGGCGGTGGACAGTCCCAGGGTGGAATCGAGGAGGCTGCCATAGTAGACCCCGACACTACTACTTGACGGGAGCACGTCGTCCTGTCCCTTCTCCACAGCAAGGCAGTGGATCTTGTTGACTTCGGACTTGTGAAGCAGGGCTCGTAGGATTGTCCTCCCAAGAAACCCAATCGCCCCTGTCAGAATGATCTCAATGCCTGCTGATTCTCTGGAGCGGCGCGGCTCCGAGCGCGAGCTTGTCTCTTGGAGTATCGCTTCCGGGACAGCTGTCTCCTCGTACCAATTGATCGTTGCCATTGGAGTTTCAGCCTTCCGTGAGGCAACCTTAAGCGCCATGCTCGACAGAGTACTTGCAGCGTACAGCTCGCGAAGTGTGATATGCACCCCGATGGAAGTGCAAATCGCACCTTGGAGCTTGATCAGGAGTAGAGAATTCCCCCCGAGCATGAAAAAGTCCGACTCGGGCTGGATCTGAGGCTTGTTGGGTAAGATTCCCCTCCAAAGGAGCTTGAGCTCGCCCTCGCCCAAGGTCAAACGCCTGTTCTCCTGCGATGGTGCCTTTGCGCTCAAAGCCGGCAAAGCCTCGATTGCCTTTCGGTCGACCTTGCCATTCGCGGTCCGTGGTAAACTGTCCAGGCGCACCACTAGCGCAGGACACATGTACTGTGGCAGGGGAAGACTAATCGCAAGACGCTGAAGGTCGGAGTCGGTACTCGTGCGGCCGGGGGCAACCGCAACATATGCCACGAGGTATTTGGAATCACCATCGCCCTTGACGCAAACAACAGCCGCCGAGATCATGCCCGAAGAGCAATTCACCAATGTAGCTCCCACGTCGTCCAGGTCAATCCGAAGACCACGGAGTTTGATCTCCAAGTTTCCGTCCATACGACCCAGAAGGATAAGTGAGCCATCTTCGAGCATGCGGCCTTTGTCGCCAGTACGGTACATCCGAGTCCAACCCCGAGCAATATCCTTTTCGCTCGCAAACCGGTCCTCGACGAATTTCAGCCGCGTCTGTTCTTCGTCCAAGTACCCAAGGGCTATTCCAGCTCCACCGATGCATATCTCGCCAGGCACACCAATTCCCACTAGATTTTCGTTATCATCCAGTATATATATGGAAGTGTTAGGGATGGGCTTCCCGACGCTGCGCGCTTCCTCGAGCTGAGACACGTTCATGGTCTCGAAAGTCGTGCAAGCAGAGATTTCTGTTACGCCGTAGGAATCCTGAACAACAGGGCATCTATGGCCCAGTTGCACAAACTCTCGCTTCAGTTGGTCCGTAAATGGTTCGCCACCGAGGCAGGCGTGGCGCCAAGAGGTGTAGTCCTCTAGATACTTGCATCCGTGCTGGAGAATAACCATGTACTCGGACGGCGTGGCAAGCGTGAATGTCACCTTCTCCCGCCGGATCAACTTGGCAACCTCGATAGGGTCTCCTCGCGCCGCCTGGGGGACGATGACGAGCTTCCCTCCATTCATGATTGCGTTGAGTATCTGAGCAAGCCCCATGTCAAATCCCACAGAGCTCTGCTGCAAGATGGTGACATTATGGTCCAAGTGCAGCTCCTCGGCCTTTGCGGCGAGGTAATTGATGAAGCCAACTTGCGAGAGCAAGACCCCTTTCGGTTTGCCTGTGGAGCCGCTGGTATATAGTAGGACCGATGGAGACGTACCATCACGGTCGATATCTATCGTCGGATCTGAGTGCTCCGGCACCGCGGACACATTGATGATAGTCGCCACACCAAGAGTGGAGGCTGACTCAAGCGTCGTAGCCGAGCAGAGTATCACATTTGCGCCCGAGGCGTCTATGATGGTACTATGTCTCGACATCGGGCTACTGAGATCGAGAGGCACATAAACAGCGCCGGTGAGAAGAATCGCTAGCAGGCTCGCTACCGAATCCAGGGATGGCTGGCAGAGAACCGCGACCTTGGTTCCGGGGGTGATTCTTCCTTCAATGAGAGCATTCGCTATGGAGCACATTCGAGCGCCCAAGCAAGAGTATGTGTATCTTCCTTTTTCCTCAATAACAGCGGTCCTGTCGGCGTAGCTTTGTAGAATTGTGCGGAACCGTGCCGACAACGTCTCCGGCCATCGATGACGGATCCGCGTGCCCCGGCGGACGGACAAATGGGTTTCATCACTATTGCTCGAGAACAAGGCGCACTGCTGTACTGACCGGGAAGAGTTGGATCCAAATTCAGCTAGCAAGTTGATATACATGTCCAGAACCAGCCCTGCGGCCTCGGGACTGTAGAGGTAATCTCGACAGGTGACATCTAAGATGCAGGTGCCGAGCGCCGTAGGAGTGATGTGAAAGGACATGTCATACGGTGCGTTCCCCATGACGCTACGTTCGTAGGTCAATTTGAACTCCTCCACAGACATCTCAGTAATCTCCCCTACTCTATAGTTGATGGCCACCTGAAAAAGTGGCGTGTGCGTTGAGGTTCGCGGAATGTCGAGGTGGTCAACAACGAGATTCGAGGGCATTGACGAGTGCGACAGCGCCGAGAGAACATCGCGTGACGTCCGCTGGAACACACTAGCAAAGCTATCGCCCTGCACAATCCGAGACTGTAGAGGCAACAGATTGACGAAGTAACCAATCGTGTTGAGGTACTGCTCATGTTTTCGATTCGCATCGCTCATGCCGATGCACATGTTCTCAATATTCAGCAACTTTGCAAAGAGAATTTGGAGCGTCGCCAGAAAGAAATGAAACGCCGTGCCCCGAAGTCTTTGACTCGAGTTGCGAACACTTTCTGCAAGCTCTCGCCCGATTGTACGCGTAGTCGTATGCGCCTTGTAGTTGTCCGTGGCTGTTCTGTATTTCACCTTGGCAAGCCCAAGTAGAGGCATCACATCCGGCAAAGGTGAGAGTCGTCGCTTCCAGTACTCTATGTCCTTCGAGAATGCACCGCTCTGAATAGCCTGATTCTGCATTACGGAGTAGTCGATGTACTGTGTGGCATTGAAGGTAGGCGGCCTCATCTCGTAAAAGGCTTTGACTTCTCTGAGAAAGGTGGACCAGCTGACCCCATCCATGATAATGTGATGATAGCTGAATATCACAGTGTGGCGTCCGGGTTCGACTGACACCACGGTGGCTCGGAAGGTCTCTCCTTCCTCCAACGACCAGTTGTGAAGCGCCGCCTTCTTGAATTCCTCGGAAATGATTTCCAGGTCCGAGGTCTTCACATGGTGAAAGAAGGGCCACGCTCTTCCTAGAGTCCCTTGCACGAGCTCGCCACTTACATGGTCCATAAAGAATGACGTGCGTAGGGATTCATGCCTTGAAACAGTTTCCTCTAACGCTCTTTTGAATCTTTCAAGTTGAAACGAGCCCTCAACCTTGTAGGATATCACGACATTGTATTGCGTCGGGTCTTTCATGTAATTTCCTGCAAACCAGATCAGGGATTGGTATGGAGACATGAGCTCGACGCGTGTAAAGTCTCGATTGAGAACAAGGTTAGGCTCTGCCTTTGATGTAGAACATGCGGCGGTCGAGCTTTCTGAAGTCGCCGAGCTGACGCGGTCTCGGCTGCTAAGGCATTGGTCGGAGCTCGTCATGGTACTTGCGGCAGTTTGTATAGACTGATCATTCTCATGGTCTCGCAACTTCTGCCCTAGGGATAGTGCAACAACATCTGTACAGACGCCAACCGCGGTATTGTACAACACGTCAACAGCTGGTATCTCGACTCCGACTTCTTTCTCAAGCCAGCTGCCAATCTCGACGGCTACCAAGGAGTCACAGCCAAGATCGAGGAGTGGGATATCTGAACGCATGCTTTCTGCGTCGAGATGGAGCACAGACTGTAATCGCCTGGATAAGAAACTCAAGAGCAAATCACGAGCTTCTTCACCGCATTTTAACTCTGTGAGTCTTTCTTTGATGGTGGCATTTGCGGCAACTGGCTCTTTCTGTTTTTCGTGGATCATCTTCCCCGAGGTAAAATGGGAGAAAACTGGATTCGAACACCATGGCGGAATGTCCTGGTCATCGCATCGTCGCATGACTGATGAGAAACCGATGATAATCTCTGCGCCATCTTTCGACTTTGCGTCGGAAGCGTTCACGGCCTCTGCAAAGGCATGGTGGATATCTCTCTCCGACAACGCCGAATAGCCCTGGTTGATCAGATGATCGAGCTCGCGTCTAGTTTGGCCAGCACACATTCCCACATCAACAACCATTCCCATCTGGATTATTGATGCTGCTAAGCCCTTAGCCCGACGGTTCTGCACTAGGTCACACATAAAGTGTGTGGCCGCAGTCTGATAAGGCTGCTCAGCGATACCCTTTACACCCCCTAACGATGAAAACAGCACGAAGAACTCCAGGGTAGGCTTAGAGAAGAGCTGATCAAGGTAGCATGATCCTTTGATCTTCATATCAAAGGCAATGTTGAGATCATCAACGGCCTCATCCTCAAATACCTCAGCAGACAAACTCATTGCTCCGTAAGCCACTCCACCAATGGGCGGCATGGTGGCGCTAATTCTGTCGTAGACCAGCGACAAAGACTCTTTCTGAGACACATCCATCGCCATCGATTTGACGCATATCCCAAGCTTGGAGATGTTTTCGACCCATTCCTGATCTACTTGGCCGTTCCTGCTTGTGAGGACAAAAGTTCTGGCGCCGTGTCGTGCCATCCAAGAGATCAAGGACAGCCCAAGCGGGGCTGTCATCTCAACCATGAGATAACTTTTCTTCGGAGAGAAAATGTCAGGAGAACAGAGACCTTCAGCCGGAATTGAGACCTTGGTCGATTTAGTCCAGTCAATGATTGTTGGATGGGTGTAGGCAGATTCCGGCATATTGATAACCTCATTCAACGCGTAGGTGCGCTGAGCAAACGAAGACAGGTTCAAGGGATGTGCTTTCGCATCCGCATAAGCTCGAGTGAGTAGCTCCCTGCATTCAGCGGACTTCACGCCCGCGATGCACATTGGGTCTATCGAGATATTGCTATAAAGGCTATGAATATTTGACCCAAGCGTGCCACTCCAGCCTGTGGCCAGATTAACGAGGTATGAGATACCTGTCGGGAGGGCTTGCTGAATCATCCGGCGGGTCGCTTGAGGGTGTAACCCGATCCATCTGCTCCGCACCTGATCTTGCTTGGTGGACGTCACAAAGTAGACCTCTCGCCTACGCCAGCGCGGACTTGTCTGAATAGTAGCGGCCAGGATTGCGTTGGGCTCGTAGATTAAAACGGGGCCTGGATGCTGAAGTGCTGATGCAATGAGATCAGCAACGAGGAAGCTGGATATGGCCTGTAGAGCCGCGGGCGTGATCTCATCTCTCTTATCCAGAACGTAAACCTCGTCTGGGCGGACCCGAAGAACTGACGAGTTGTGCTCTCCGATGCCCATCACTGTTGTATTTTTGTCCTGAGTAGCACCCAGCCACATGAACAGTCTTTTGGAGCCCTGTGACAAGAGTGGGATTGAATATCGCGTCTTGATAGTAATCGTCTCGGCTCCTCGAGAGGAAAGTTTGTGGAGACGCTGTATGCGCACTGTTTTGGTTTCTTTGGAAGTGAGATGCAGCTCGACTGGAACCTGATTAGGGTAAACATCCTCAGTGAGTTTCAATAGCTGCTTTCTGTGTTCTATGTCTCTTTTCTCGTCCCGGACCAAACGTGGGATAGAATAACTGCGACCGTCGAAGCGAATCTCTGGCTCATGTGTCCATAGCATCTTCTTTCCAGCAAACTGTGGAAGGCGAGACCACAAGAGACGCAAGAAGGCCTCTAGAACCACATTCGGGCTGAGTGCACCTGGCTCTGTCACAGCCAGAAATTGCAGTCGAGCATCTGGATGTTGAGACATTACCACTCTCCCTAATCCAAGAGTGATACTGTGAAAAGAGGGACCACTGTAAGACGCGGATGACAACCAAAGTACAGATCTCGACCGCTCGAACAATCGGTGTACGGACAACAGTTTTCGATGCGTTACCTCACTGAAAGATAACGTCTTCTCGACCTCAATCGCAGATATGACAGGTAGTCCATCTTCTATAGTGACTGGATCAAAATCATCGATGTCTTCCATAAGACCAACAGCCACACCACACTGCGCGAAGTCTCGTGTCAAGCCCTGAATCAAGCGTGATCCTGCCCAAGTCTTACCTCCTGCGAGCATTACTTTCTGCGGCAGAGGCAAACGATCCATAAACCTAATTGGCTCACGAAGCATGTCCATGGTAGTGTTCACAGCTTGGGAAACCACCACGGAAAGATAGCTTGCGGTGCCGTTAGGCACATCGTGAGTCACAGTATCAATGCCCGAGAATTCTGCAGCGCGCAAGTGCCTGTCAATCTCCATTGGCGAAACACCTTTCCAGCTTACCTGCCTCGGCTCATTGCCATGCCACCACTCGGGAAACATGCCCACACAAATGAGCAGGGACATCACCATCTGACCTGTTATCTCCGTGAGAACAAGGTAGCCCCCGGGCTTCAAGAGGCGCCGAATTTCCTGCAATGATGGCGTAATATCCGGAGTTGCAAGGTGCAAAAGAGTTGTGATCACCAGGTCATAGTTCGCATGACTGAAGCCTTGCTGGATAAGGTCCGCTTTGAGGTCTGCAACCTTGAATGAGATTTTGTCCGTGCAATCATTGCATGCACTTCTTGCTGCATCAACAAGCTCTTGAGAATTGCACGTATAGCAATACGAAGCACATGCATCACCCACAGTCTTCGAGGCCATACTCATAGGACGAATCCCTCCGCCAAGCTCAAGTATATGCATATGAGGGTGCTTGTGCACGATGCGCTTGACCGTATCACAAAGCTGTTTGTGTGTCGATCTAAAAGCCAGACCCTCCAAGAAAAACCGGTTGAGGTGGTCATGCCCCAGGTTTGGAGTCTTGTGCCCTCGCAGAAACGACGCTAAGTGTGAGCCGGCGGATTGTAGCATATTAACCTCCGCCCTCCCCGAGAACCTCTCTGTGAGGCTCTTGACGATAGTGTCAGAATCTCCGAACCATTCATTCTTCAGCAAAGTGCTCTGGGTATCTTTCTTTACTGCTCGAACTGCTTGGTCAAGCTCATTGTACAAAAGACGGTGGTGGGCCTTGAATGTTGCGACTTCACGTGGGTCAATCTCAGACAGTGATCTTTGCGCGTAGAACAGAGCTATTCTTTCTGTAGAAATAGCTAGAGTCTCCTCTTCATCATTGGGCTGGTGCTCGTCGATCAACCCAGAGCATGTGAATGGATCACCTTCCCAGACAATCCGAGAGAAAAGATTCTTTTGACATAAAGATCTATGCTCACCCGTAGACTTCAAGAGCACGCCATCTGCCTGAGCTATCGAGTTTCCGTGGCAGTCGAAAATCGAAAACTCACCCTCAATCTTACAAGGGTCAGACGATATGATAAATGCATCGATGTTCAGGTCAATATCATCGCATAGAACTCGATGCGCCAGATCCTGATTTATGGCGAGGCGGTTGATTCTGGAAGGCAAATGGAATAAACTGTTTGTTCGCACAAAGGGCGAATTGAATGCTGTGATTAGAGATTGGAATGCAGTTTCAAAGGCAGCGACGAGCAGTGATGATGGTGAAGTTGTGTCTTTTGGCCAACAAGCGCATACGCTAGCATGATTGAGCGTCCGACGCAAGGTCTTGATCGCACGAAATGGGCCTTCACAGACAAGGCCACGATGCTCCAAAAGCTCGTACAGGACATCGGGGTCCACCTGTGTCAGACACGGTTGCCTCGGGGATTGTTCAGGCAACTCATCAGTGTGAGGCTTACCCAAATGAAGAATCACACGGGCTGTGCAAAACCTTTGGAGGTTTGCATCGCAGTCAGTGGAGGCATCGCAAGCAAAGTCAAGATTAACAACGGACTCCGAATAAGACTTGGACACTCCACTAGAGACCCGTATTTTGCTTACGCATTCGATTTCCGAGTCATGTCTTTCCAGCTTCAAGGGCATAGAGAGCTCCAAGTCCCGTATCTCGACAAGCGAAACAGGGCTATGGTTGACGAAAGACCTTGCTGCCTCCAGGGCACGAGATATCAAAAGTCCAGCGCAGAGCAGTGGTTCCCCGTGGTATTTATAATCCTGCAGCCACTTCATTTCTTCCAAACGCAAAATGTTTCTCCAATGAGTCTCACGAGACAGACAATCATATGTTCGTCGACCCATCGACTGCTGTGAGTCTGGTCCCTGAAGACGATAGTTGCGCGACATGCGAGATTCTCTCCAGTGTTTTCTTCGGTGGTCCCAGCAGTAACTTGGTAGGCCACTGAGTAATTTAGGTTTCCGTAGCTCAAACGAACGGCGGTATCCGCCAAGGTCAACACGGTGAGGTCCGAGAAGTTCCCAGACCAGGCCCACAGCCAATGATGCGGCTTTCACGTCAGCTACTGCACGTCTCAACATCGATACATATGGAGTCTCCTTGTCGGTAACTTTTTTAATCGTCTCCATGACAGGGGCGTTGAGTGCTGGATGGGGTCCAACCTCAATGCACAAGTCAGGCAGGCTATTCCTCTGAAACGAAATTTCCAACGCCTGCGAGAAAAGCACAGGCTGCACCATGTTGTCCACCCAATACTCACCAGATAGAGCAGACATGTCAGTATCTAGAGATATTTCGTTCTCCTTTACGCTCGAAGTCCAATTGCATCCTTCTCGTGGTGATCGCCCTCGGATATTGCACGCCTTCAAAGATGTCAAGTATGCGTCTGCACAAGCGCGCATGTGATGAGAATGGTAGGCTACATCGACCCTCAAAATCCTGGAGAATGTATTTCTGTTGTCAAGTTGTACTTTGGCTTCAAAAATGGCATCGCGATCACCTGAAAGGGTCACACTTGTGGGTGAATTACTGGCTGCAACAACGATTCTTCCCCGAAACAGTGGCTGGGTGCAGAACTGCGTCGCTTCGGTATAAGACAAGCTGACGGCCATCATTGCGCCCGGCCGTGATGAGCATCTGGAGCTCGCCTGTCTAGCGTGGTATCCACGATAATAGGCGATCCTGATGGCGTCCTCTGCAGATAGGATCCCAGCGGCATAGGTAGCGGCAATCTCTCCCGAAGAGTGGCCCACAACAACATCAAGCTGTATACCAGCAGCACTGAGAAGATCGCAAATTGCAATCTCAATCGCTGTCGTTAGTGGCTGGCTTAATTCCGCTTCGGCGACTCTCGAAAATGGTTCGTCTGCAGTAAGTTCATTCTGCAGCGACCATGAAGGTCCATCCGGCAGACCCTCTAGTGCTCGCTGACATTTTTCAATTGAGTCTCGGAATATGGGGCATGACTGAATCAGATCACGGCCCATGGCTGCCCATTGTGCACCCTGACCAGTGAAAATACCAAGAATAGCACTTTTTTTCTTCGGGCTCTTTCGTGCCGAACGATTAAAATCGTCTTCCAGGTCCGATTCTTCCATTTTGACGGTTCTCTCAATCATGCCCAAAAGCTCATCGCGGCTATCCGCAGAGAACGATCTTCTCAACGGAAGCAACGTTCTTTTGCAACCTAGCACCCATGCTAAGTCGTTCAAATCTGTCGAGGGGTGGCTTCTGACATAATTCGCCGTGAGCTGAAGTTTTTGCATTAATGAGAACCGGGTATGGGCAGAGAACACAAACGGACCTACGAGTAGGTCTCGATTGGCTCTTTCAAGCTCATCGCCCCTCTGTTGGCATAATTCTGTGAGAGGTGTATAACTTTCAATGATGGCGTGCGCATTGGTTCCACCGAATCCAAACGAATTCACACTGGCACGCAGTGGGCTATTTGGGACTAGAGAAGGCCATCTGAGATTTTGAGTTGGAACTTCTAAATGGTCGTAAAATGGTTCGATCCTTGGATTGAGTTTATCGAAAAGCAAATTCGCAGTAATCATACGGTTTTTGATACATTCGACTGCTTTTAGCAGTCCTGCGAGGCCAGCACAACCTTCTAAATGCCCCACGAGTGTTTTGATGGACCCTACATGAAGCTTGTCGGCTGCGTTGAACGGGGAGTCCTTTGGGAAGAAAACTGTTTGGATTGCTTGGGCTTCAACGGGATCTCCTGCGGGCGTGCCCGTTCCATGGCATTCGAAAAGCTGACACCGATCTCTGACGGGATCAAGTCCAGTGTTCAGGTATGTTTGTCGAATCAGACTTGCCTGAGCCTCAACACTCGGCATCGTAATCCCGGGCGAGCGGCCGTCTGAGTTAATCAATGTCTCTCTGACGATGCATTCTATATTATCGCCGTCGGCTATCGCGTGGTTTAGCGGTTTCAGAATAACAGATGCACATCCCTCACCCCGGGCGTAGCCATCGGCCGCTTCATCCCACATTCGACACCTGGATGTAGGCGACAACATATGTAGTTTCGATTCGCTGACGTATGTTCCCGCGTCCAGAATCAGATTGACTCCAGCAACAATGGCTTGCTCTGCTTCCTGGTTTCTTAGACTCTGGACAGCATAGTGCAACGCGACCAAAGAGCTCGAGCACGCGGTGTTGACCGTAATCGATGGGCCTTTCAGGTCAAAAAAATACGATAGTCGATTCGACAACAGACTAGGGGCTGTTCCGGTCGCATTCCACCTCCCAGCAGAATCTAGATCACGCATTTGAATGTCATGATAGTCTGAAGTCATGACCCCGACAAACACCGCAGTCGAGGATCCTTGCATTTGCTGAAGGGTATATCCTGCAGCCTCCAGGGCTTCGTATGTTGTTTCCAACAACACCCGTTGCTGGGGATCCATGCACTCGGCTTCGGCAGGAGAAATTCCGAAAAAGGCAGCATCAAAGTGACGATGATCGGTGTGCAGGAGGTAGGCTCTGTTTGGGACGTTTGTGCAGCCAAGGTGATCAGGGTTAGGATGATAGAAGCCGGAGAGGTTGAGTTTATGGGAAGGGAAGTCGGTCAAAACATCGCGTGGATTGTAGAGAAGCTCCCAGAGTTCGGCCGCAGAGGTCACACCGCCTGGGAACCGGCAGGAACTACCCACAATTGCAATCGGTTCTTTCATTGTCTTTCTTGCTATTCTCTTGGATGAAAGCTCCGGTCTCTCTTGTCATATCTCTGCAGCTGGTGAAGCAGGTCAGCCTTCTCTTGCATAGTTGGGACACAATGCTATATACTCTCAGTCTTGACCACGGTTCTGAGCTCGAAAGGATGTCCTCGGGTTCTCTGGGTAAGCACCCCGGCGATTAGGTTTGTATCACGTAACGCTGACCAGAAGCATAAGTTGACATCCCATCTCTTTGCTCTCTTTGAAACCTGTAGAACTGGATGCGAAAAGTGTTCCAGCAATTTCAAGGGCTGGGAAGTGTGAGTTTGAATCTTCCTGCGATCAGCTCTCGATTGACTTTGCGAGATGTCAGCTGAAAGACATCATATACGATACTCACACCAACCATATCGAGACTTGTTACCCCTTCACAGGTTACAGACAGACCCAAGAAGGAATTTTTGAAGGACACGCATGCTGTGAAACCCATCGAGCTCGAAATTGTAACTTCTGTGCAAGGTGATATGGGGATAGATGTCCGAATGCCTGGTCATTGACATCACACCACTCGAGTCTGCAGCCTAGATCACCCTAGAGAGTCATTGATGAGGGCTCTGTAGCTGGGCGACTCACAGCATGTGCTACGTTAGGGCTGAACTTCTGGTTTCCCTCGAACCGATTAGGAAGCCATGCCCAGGAAGTTGACGGTGGATGCAACCTGCACGAGGTCACGACCATGGGGTGGAAAGGAACGCCCAAACTCATACTGCATGGGAGCCTGCTTCTCTGTTATGAACATATAAACTCAGTCATTCTCAATTTATCGACTGCTATGTCGTTGCTGCTTCTAATTCGCAGCCACCCCTCACCGTAATGGGAGTTTAATTTCGAGTGGAGTTCTTTTCTGACCCACCAAAACAGCTCGCACACTCTTTGTCACGACCAGAATGGATGTCTCAGCTCAGCTCTCTCTACCATTTCAAACCCTCAGCCGCAGCTTCGCATTCTCGAGTAGTGACGAAGTGAAATGGTGGCAGAGCACAGCTCCGATGTTTGCACGCATGATGGCAGCCGCCAAATACGATGTGCATGCGCAATATCGGTTTTTGTGTATCCATCGTGAATTTGTCATTCCTAATCTGGGTCCATACCCCAGAAAGGGCCAACCTATGCACTGGAAGAGTCACTTGACCCGCTTCGGACTGCCTTTTGAATTGAGCTTCAATTACTCCAAATCACTGCTGCGGTTCGCCTTTGAGCCCCTCGGGCCTCTGACAGGGTCCGAACCTGACCCTTACAATACTAAGCAAATTCACACAGTGTTGAGAGCACTCAAAACTGTGGTTGCAGATCTCGATCTGGACTTGTTCGACCATTTCGTCTCAGAGCTAGTCGTCAGGGACGAAGAGGTTGAGAATATCCGAAAGAATAAACGGGAGATTCCATGTTTCAAAACCCAGAACAAACTAGCCGCTGATCTAGAACCCGACGGTGGGATCGTTTTCAAAGCCTACATCTATCCACGAATCAAGTCAATTGCGTCTGGCACGCCCAAGGCCCAATTGATGTTCAACGCCATACGTAAAGCCGACCCAGGTGGAAAGTTAAGAACACCACTGGCAGCATTGCAGGAATTCATGGCCTCGAGAAGCGCGACACTCATTCCCCACTTCCTTTCTTGCGACTTGGTCGAGCCCTCCAACTCTAGAATCAAACTTTACTGTTACGAAACCCAACTAGAGTTGGATTCGATAGCGGATATATGGACTCTCGGGGGACGACGGACCGACCCGGGGACCATAGCGGGGCTCGAATTACTGAAGGAGCTGTGGCAGCTACTACCCATCACTGGAGGGCGCTGCGCTCTTCCAGATTGCTTCTATGAGCCTGGCGAGTCACCCCACGAACAACTACCTTTTATAATCAATTTCACCCTGTCTCCAAACAGCCTTCTTCCCGAGCCTCAGATCTACTTTCCATCGTTTGGTCAAAATGACAAGGTCACTGCGGATGGCTTGGAAGCATTCTTCGGGCGTGTGGGCTACGAGGGGATGGCAACAACGTACGCGTCGGACCTCGCTGCCTATTAGTGAGTTCTACTCCTCTCCACCTTCCCTTGTTTAGGACACTATATACAAGAATGTCAGGTTGACAAACCCAAGCCCCGATCAGAATCTCGCCGACACAACACATGTTCAAGCCTGGATCTCTTTTTCCTTCCGGCAAAGCCAGCCGTACATGAGCACCTATTTGCATACCTTCGAGGCCATGGGTTATGCTCTCGGAAGGCCCTCAGTGAGGTTCAAAGAGCAATAGTCGATCGATCTGGCGCACCATGCTGATCTTTCAGAAGTATCAGCTACTATGTCATTGCAACCATGTTTGCTTTTTCTTCATGCTACTTGCCCGCTCTCACGGTCGTTGTCGAGAGCATGTATTCATCTGTTACTCGACCTACGATGCGTACATATGTTATTCTTGTCCATGGTTAAATGCGAGTCTTCTAGTCATATCAACTGTCCTTTCCTTGGTTGATCTGTAGGGGTGCCAGCCCCGCACTACTATGCCGACTTGGAGGGTATATGCATCCTCAGATATGCGGTCGAGTTGCGCAACAATACATTGATGGGGGTCGGGGGGCGGGTGGTATACCAAGATCTCTGAGGGTGTGCGTTCACCTGCTGGGATCATGGATATGGGCTACGTCAGTTCAGAATGCCGCCACTGGAGCATGAAGCGCTTTATTGGGGTGCTTTTTAAGACCCTTTGTATTACGAAGGTGGATGGGGGTGTCTTCCCGCGGCAACATATATCACCGCACATCAGCTGTCTGCTATAAGGGACACCCAAATTAGTATCCGCAATTCTCTTATCTCACGGTCCCAACTAAGCCTACGTTAAGTGGGGCGTCATCATCTACAAAAATGTGGTAGAGAGCATCAGCTCGTACCAGAACAAATGCAAATTTATACGCATGAAAAGTGCTCTGGCAGTGAAGATTTTTGTGCTTGTAAGTATAGTAAAAGACTAAGCAAGCACATACGACCACAGGGTGTGGAAAACAGGGCTTCCCGTCCGCTCAGCCGTACTTAAGCCACACGCCGGGAGGTTAGTAGTTGGGTGGGTGACCACCAGCGAATCCCTTCTGTTGTATGTTTTATTTTCTTTTTTTTGCTCCAACCACCAATGTACGAAAGTAGAGCAGCTTCACGTGAATCTTTGTCACCTACAGGTTAGGCATCGAATATGATCACAGTTAAATGTTTCATGCTGTGTAGATTTTGTCCTGTCTACTACCAGAAAAGTACAAACCAAGACGGCGGTCAGGCACGGCAGAAGCCAGGGGGCTGCTGCCTTACTGTGTCACTGCGTTGTTCCCCTTCATCCTTCTGCCCCGCACCCAACCTGGCGAGTGCAGCATCCGTTTGCTTCAGTGGCAATATTCTAACACTCTAAGTTCTGGCACAAGGCGGGGTTGGAAGGGTCTTTAGTCTAGTGGACCATTATTCTCCGATCCATACCGGGGGTCATACTCGATTCTGATGTTGTGGCTCTGGGTGCGTTCGGTGTGAATTCGAGTAAGCTTACCATTAAACCCGTGCTTTCTTTTCAACGGCTAAGACGCAGAGAGTTGTGTGCCCGGACATTGAGCCCGATTTCGATTCTTTATCAAGATCCTTGTTCATACTACCCTCGACATTTGGAATTCAATGAATGTGAGCGCTGAGATGGGGTACGGCTCGGTCACGTCACAGGCTGGTTAGCCTTACTATGCTGAAGCTTATCCGTGGTGACAGTCTCGCCCGTCCCGAAAAACCTCCGAAATTACAGTTTGCCACACAAAGTCAACCTTAACCATATTTCTTGCACAGCAACGTATCCAGACGCTCAACGGCTGACCGGGGTGAGAAAGATGCGCAAAGGCTTGACCCCCCAGGTGTTGAAGACCGGGGTATCGTGGTCCCAATTCTCCGACTCCGGGGACAGCTCCCAGTCGAACTCCCAGATGAATCGACACAGCACCAGATGCAACTCGAGCTTGACCAGACTTTGCCCAAGACAGTTGCGGGGCCCGACACTGAACACCTGCATCGCGTGTCGATCGTCTTTCGCATACGCCGGATCGCCCAACCACCGCTCCGGGACAAATCTCTTAGGATCCTGAAAATTGAGACGTGAGTTGTTGGCGGCAAAATGGCAGATGCCCACCTGCATGCCCTCGGGGATCCAGTGCCCCGCAACCCAGGCCCCTTCCCTGGGAACTCGTCGAGGGAAGACGGCGGGCCCGGGCGGAAATCTTCGCATAGCCTCGGTGAAGCAGGCGGGCAGATACTTTAGTTGATTCACACTGATGGAAGTGATCTCCCCTGGCTTCTGAAATGTGCTTCGAACCTCCTGGATCACCTTAGCCTTGGCCTCTGGGTATTGAGTGAGATAATACGTTGTAGCGCTCAGGGCTGTGCTGGTGGTTTCACTCCCGGCGATAATGAGCGTCGAGCAATTACCGTCGATCTGGTATCGCTCCAGTTTGTGGTCTGGGTTGAGGAGGTTGGCGGTCAAGTCGTTGTACGTCACCTTCTTCTCGATCCTTCGCTGGACCTTCTCATGGGTAAGCTGCTTGTGAGTGGCGAAGGTTTCGGCGTAGGATTTGGGGAGGAGCCTCAATAGCGCGCTAGACACAGAGGGATAGTAGTTGAGGGCCTGCATAAAGCCCCGATACTTCATAACCTCGAAGATCATGGCGACCCATGGTTGGTAGGTGGAGCTTTCCAGGCACCCGAAGGACTCCCCGAAAGCTAGCTCCCCAATCAGATCGAACGTGAAGAACTAGTAGGGACGGTCATACAGTGACACTCAAGAGCGTATCGCGCCAGTCATTGGCTCGGAATGTAGTCCGCTCACATTGAACCAGGAGGTCATCTCCGGCGCGACGCCTTTCGACGCCTCCTCATGCAGCTGTGCCAACAGCAGGTCAATCTTGCCCTGGATTACGGGCTCCTGTTCTCGAAGGGCTGCCTCGGAGAAGCCCTTCGAAAGCAACCGCCGATAGAGGCGATGGAGATCATGCTCGGCCGTGACGATGGCATGAGGCGTTCGTGGACCCCGGAACAGCGGCGTGTCTTTGCTCATCTCCAGTCGACCAGGCTGCAGGCCGTAGATCGCCTCCCATGCTTTGCTGGAGGTAAATAGAACTTCATCCGGTGCGATCCGCACGACCGGGCCGTACTTCTCATGAGCCTGGTGGGCGAACCGGACCACCGTGCCAGATAATAAATGGTAGGAATGTACTAGGCGAGTCACGGCTGCAAGCCTCGGTCCTGGATACTTGGCAAGTGGATGGAATTTGAGCAGGTATACCGCAGTGAGGACGGCATACTGGATGAATCTGTTAGCCTATGATACTTACTCCACAGTAACCTCTCTTACTAGTATCGCAACCACTATTGCTGTTGCTATGATCCCCCCAAACGTGACTCCTTTGAGCGGCATGAGAGAATAGTCTACAGCCCACGACATGATGGTGGTGTGCCAGAGGCTTGAATCAAGCTTACGGAACAGAGTTGCATGAAACGTGGTGAGTCAGATATACCAATAACCAAACCATGATTTGGGGTATATTTCTAGATTTTTGAGCCATTGAGTAATTTACAATGTACGTAAACGGAAAGTGGGCAGTGTCTGGCATTCGGGCGAGAATCCCGAATCTCTGACGTCTACCAACCAACCTATGAATCACCTCCTAATTCCTATTCCTCTTTCAGCTCCAGACTTTCTCTCCTCCACTCTCCTCGAATTTTCGTGTACTCCAACTTCGACCTTCACCAACCATCTTCATCAGGGGACGCACGCTGAGTGTCCTACCTTATTATCCCCCGAGTGGGAAGTTGGGTTTCACCACTGGTTACGCGAAGGGAGGCACGTGCTGCGGTCTTTTAAAGCAGATGGAACGCAGATACACCTCTGGTTCACAACACACACCTTCTTACGTCGCCGACGCCTTGCAAGCAACACTATCAACGTCGACTACGACACACCACGCATACCTGAGGAGATGGTACGACCAGCTATGAAGGTGGAAGTCCACTCTGCAGTTGTCGATTGGGATGGCCCCGACGACCCAGCCAGACCAATCAATTGGCCGAGAAAGAAGAAGTGGCTGAATATCTTGAGTGTCTCGTTCTTGACTTTCTTGACTCCCTTGGCTTCATCCATCCTGGCGCCCGCCACGGGCTTAGTCCTCAAGGAGTTTCACTCCACCAACAGGACTCTTGGCTCCTTCTCAGTCTCCATCTACCTGATCGGCTTCGGCCTTGGCCCCCTTATTCTTGCTCCGTTGTCGGAGATGTATGGTCGCCTGCGCGTTTACCAAATCACCACGGCCATCTTCGTTGTGTGGAACATCGCCTGTGCTCTAGCCCCCAATCTTGGTGCTCTCCTGGCCTTTCGGATGCTCGCTGGCCTGTTCGGTAGCGCTCCTATGACGTTGGGCGCGGGCACGATCGGTGATCTCTTTGTTCCCCAAGAAAGAGGATTGGTCATGGCCATCTGGGGGGTAGGTCCGCTCATGGGTCCGGTGCTAGGACCGATCGCTTGTGGTTACCTCTCCGAAGCTGCAGGATGGCGCTGGGTCCTTTGGCTGGTTGCCATCGTGGTGAGTACGAGCTGCTTGGCTCATCTATCATTCTGCTTACGTGCTGACATCCCCTCTTTCTCTCAGTCAGGTGTCGCGTTGGTCTTTACCCTCCTCCTCCAGTCGGAAACCTACGAGCCTGTGCTACTCCAGCGTCAAGTCAGCCGATTGAAACAGGAAACTGGCAATCCCAACCTCTACTCCGACAAGACTCGGAGAGTCAATGCGAAGAACAACATCGTTCAATCCATCGTCCGACCGCTGAAAATGCTCTTCTTGTCCCCAATAGTAGCGCTATTCTCAATCTATATTGGTTAGCTGTCACTCAGGCTTTGCAGCTCGCTGTTTTCAGATTTGCGGTCTCTAACCACTATTTCCGGATCACAGGAATCGTTTTCGGTTACCTCTACCTGCTTTTCACGACAATCACCCACATCTACGAAACCACATATCACTTCACCCAGGGTAACAACGGGTTGGTCTATATCGGGGTCGGGGTGGGTGCTGCCATTGGGATGGCAATTTTCGGCGCATTGTCCGACAAGACCCAGATTCGACTCACGGTGAAGAACAACGGTCAATCAGAGCCTGAGTTCCGACTGCCTCTGCTGATCCCGGGTAGCACCTTGGTGCCTATCGGTCTGTTCTGGTACGGCTGGTCGGTCGACAGGCATGTGCACTGGATCATGCCCATCATCGGGTTGGGCTGGATCGGGCTGGGTATGATCGGAACGTTTTTGCCCATCCAGTCATACATGGTTGATGCGTTTGGCCCCTACGCAGCGTCTGCCGTGGCTGCAAACACCCTGGTCCGATCATTCGTCGGAGCGTTCCTGCCACTTGCAGGTCCCTCCATGTATGCGACGTTGGGGCTGGGATGGGGCAACTCGTTGCTCGGGTTCATTGCCTTGCTCATGTTACCGGTGCCGGTCATTTTCTATTACTACGGCAAGAAGATTCGAACGAAGTTCGAGGTTACCTTCTAGGGTCACCTCAACGATCGACGAATTGTCTGCAAATAGCGCGTTGTAGATCGGTGGCCTTACGATACATAGCTCTGATGGAGTACAGTGAGACAAACTGGTGATGCCTGCTGGACGGGGCCATGTTAAGATAAATGACTGGGAATTGATACAGAGCCGGAGTGAGGCGTGGTGAGGTCTTACCCGTAAGTGCGCCCACCAGCGTGTGCAACCACAGGTAGTGAACCGTTAGCGAGGTTGTTGAGGTAATGAATAGTGTGGCACAATGATCCGTTCACAGTGCAACGCAGGGCGCTTTCCCCGCCTCTCTCACGTCGCACGTTTTCCGGCAAGGCGACGATATGGGGTGTTTCGAACAATCGACGAGGCCGGTTTGATCAGGCAATCCAGGCAGTCAAGAGTGGCGTGCAGCTTGGCAAGAATGAATGGTCCAGGCGAAGGTCGAACTTGGAAGCTAATCCGCACCACCAAAGCCAGCCTTCATGATAAACGGTAGTGTTGGTCGGATGGTGAGCAAGCCAAGGGTTGGTTTCTGCCTTAGGCACCGCATCCATCCAGCATGAGCGACTTCAATCCCCAAGTCGACGAGGCTAAAGCTTCCCTTGCCCAGCTCAACACCGTCAACCTCGACGACTCAACAGCACATAAAGCTGCCATTTTCCAATGCCAGTCTGTCATCAATGCTCTGCAGAGACCCGGGGATAAGGCCTTGGAGAGCTTCACAACAGTCTGGCTCGCTCCTTCATGTCGGAAGCGCAAGCTAACAACTGCAGTTTACCATCTTCCCCTGTCTTCGAACCGCAAGTGACCTGGGCATTTTCGAGAAGCTGAGCCATGGGTCTTTGAGGCTTCAGCAGCTGGCCGAGCAGACGGGGGCGGAATCAAGCCTCCTCGGTAGGCTCAGCTCTCCAGCACGCTCTGATTCAACCAAAGCTAACCACCCTCAGCTCGACTCATGCGAGTCGTCACCGGCACTGGCGTCGTGCGCGAATCCAGCCCAGAGGCTTACACGGCAACCCCTACTTCGAACATCCTTGGAACCGCAGCATTCGCCGCCGGGTTTCGCATGTTGTATGTCCTGACTGCCTGCCGATCAGACGAGCTCGCTAACACTTCCGCCCCGCAAACAGCGGCAACATCGCCCCCAACCTACAAAGCTTCCCCGACCACCTCCAAGCAACGCAGTACCGCAACCCCTCCGACAGCGACAGCCCCTCGGGGATCTTCCAATCCTGCTTCCACACCGACCGCAGCTTCTTCCAATGGCTCGCCGCCAACCCCACCATCGCGCGCGACTTCAACACCTTCCAAACCACGAAGCGCAACCAACAGCACTGGAGCGACAGCTACCCCGTCTGGACACGCATTACCACGGGCGGCGTTGACACCCTCGACTCCGATGCGCCCCTGCTGGTCGATGTCGGCGGCGGCATGGGTCACGACCTCCGCGTATTGAAGACCAAGTTCCCCTCCCCGCTGCAGACGGGGCAGATCGTCCTCCAGGATCAGCGCTCGGTGATCGAGACCATCCCCGCGGACCTGCGGGACCCAACTATCGAGTACGTGCCGTATGACTTCTTCACGCCGCAGCCGGTGCAGGGGGCGCGGGTGTACCTACTCAAGCACATCATCCACAACTGGCCGGACGATAAGGTGGTGGACATCCTGCGGAACGTGGCCGCCGGGATGCGGAGCGGGTATTCGAAGCTGTGGCTGTTCGGGGGCATTGTGCCCGAGATGCACGCGCCGCGGATTTTGGCGAGGATGGATATCGTGATGATGGTGTTTATGGCGGCCATGGAGCGGACGGAGAGGCATACCACGGAGCTGTTGCGGCGGGCCGGCTTGGTGGTTACGGGGGTGGACGTGGTGATGGAGGGGTATGGGGTTATCGAGGCGATGTTGGAGGCTTGAGGACGTTTCTGGTCGCATGTTCTCTGTAACCGTGGGAGTGGGAATGCTTGAAAACAGAGAACGGTGTTATCTTGGGATGACAGGATAGATGCTAAGGAATGTCAGGAATGTATTATTTTGTCGTCAGGTGACTTACCTTGCCTGCAAGGAGGAACCTAACATCATAAGGATAATGCGGCGCTAGACGCTGGCAGTAGCTCTTCCAGAGGTATAGCATACGAAGACCTCACACAGAGCAAGTACCACAGAGCAAGCAGGGAAATCGTCACTACGTGGACTCCACACCTCGAGTCTCTTCCTTCACCGACCAATATTTACCTACCGTACCTATAAAAGCCATCTCTCCTATGCCCCCCTTCGAACCACAACCCCCAACCCCCAACTACTAACTACCCTCAACTCAACCTCGCCAACCCAAACCCAAACCCATCCTCCACAAAATGACCACCCCATGGCTCCCCCCCTACGAAGAAGGCCTCCTCCCCTACTTCCTCCTCTACGTATGTCCATCCCCCCCCCTGCCCGACAATAGATAATAACCCCAACCAGAGCACCCTAGCCACCCTAACCCACAGCCTGGCAACCTACCTCCGCCCGCTCCCCTCCATCCAAGCCTTCTCGGGCCCGAACGCGCCGGCCCGGTCCCCGCTCCTCGCGCACGTCTACGGCCACGCCAACCTGCTGGCGGTGGGCATCCGGGGCGCGGCCGCGTACCACATCCACGACGCGCCCGTGTACGATCTGGCGCTGCTGAGTTTCGGGGCGGTTCTGGGGTTGTATGTTGGCGAGGTGGGCGTGTGGCGGACGGTGCGGGTGCGGGAAGGGGTGGTGCCTGTTGTTGCTGCGGGGGTCGGGGTGGTGTGGATGGGGTGGGCGCGCGGTGGGTATCTTTCTTTATCTTGATTTGGGACAGGGGGGGTGGGGTGTTTGGTGAAGGGGTTGAGGTGCGAGGGTCGAGGTTAGAATTGTAGTGTGGTTGATGGTTGGGGAGGGGGTATATTGGTGGCGGGTTGATGGGTTATGCCTGTTGGGGAGTATGGGAGGGGGGGGGGGCTGAGAGGCTTTCATAAACACTCAGATTAATGGCGGGCTAGTGAGCTACGGATGTTGTTGCCTTTCCTCAGTTGATGTCTTTTGTTGAGCTGGAGTGCGGGGTTGTTTGTATGCTCGCAATCCGATGACCTTTCTCAAGAAGTATCTTTGTCTGATTGGCGAGTGCTAGGATGACTTGAAAGAATTTGAAAAGTGTAAGAAGACTTCTATCTGCACTACTGATTTACGAATGTTGTTGCCTTTCCTCAGTTGATACTTTACTAAGCTGTAGCGCGCGTTGATTGTGTATTCACAATCGGAGGCGACCTTCGATAAGGCGACTTCTAGTTCGACTGCGAGTGCTAAAACATTCCAGACAAAATTAAAGGAGAAAAAGAAAATAAGAAGAAAGCAAAGGACAACCGCATATGCACATGAGTGAAGCCGAAGCTCTAGCCACGGCTGGAAGGAAACCTGGAAAATGTGCAAAAAATTATGACAAGAGTGGGATTCGAACCCACGCCATCAAACGATGATCAGGAAGCTGTGAAGCTGTGTGCTAAGGTAACCTTAACCTGACGCCTTAGACCAACTCGGCCATCTTGCCTTAATTGATGTAACAGTGACGTTGTCTTTGAAACATAACATAGAGAAAAAGGGACCCATTTTCGATCGCACCCTAACAACCTTGAACCACGGAAGTGCAAATGAGAATACACCTCGTATCGGCACATCCAACTCACCGTGCAACGCTACACCCGTACAATCTGGTAGCATTCAGCTCTTGCCAGGCCCTGTACCGCCGACGGGCCATCACCAGCTCGGCGGAAAGTCACCACAGAAGCCCTGCTCGGGCGATACAAATGGTAGCCAGACCAAAACAGATGCCATGCTACAACAAAGTTCCAACCTGTGAGACCATTCTCTCGCTCCTTGCCAGCACAGGGCTCAAATCCGCCGACCTTGAGCAATTGCCCGATTGATGGCCTCGTTATCGCACGATAAGTGCCCGATTGGGGCGGCGCCGCGCGGGCGGATGAGGGTTCGGCAACCCCGATTGTCAGGCATCCTCATATGCGGATGACCTGTCTCCAGATCGTGTGCAACGTTGCGCTCTGCCGGTCTGTATCTCGGTCGCACGGGGTCTTTGCTGTAACCGAACGATGTTGCGTCCTGTTCTCGATCACCATCCTCGTGAAGTGACATCCGTGTTGCCTTGGGACGAAATCAGACTCGACTGAAGGCATCCACATCGTGGTTCTATAGCGACCTCATCTGGTCAGCCTTCTAGAACATCAGCACATGCCTGGAGGGTCATGAGCACCTGATGACTATTTGTGTTGGCCGCCCGGCTTGGCGGAGTTGGAGCATCGTGTACGAAACCCACAGACCTGTCCTCGATCATTTGTCCTCACAGGCTGTATTGAACAGCATCATCTTCAAAGGCGCAACTCGAAAAGTGCCCGCGACCGACAATTGGCACGCGTCCACATGCGCTGTCGCGAATTCTGATCGTTTCCTCAAGGAATGTCGCGGAGGACGGGTCTTTATCGAAAGTCGGCGAGATGGAGAGAGGGCGGGATGGTGATATCCGATGGTGCGTGGTGTCGAGATAGTCTGTCCTCGGCATCATGGGGCGGGAAACGGGGATGATTATGGCGGAGTTTCGTATAGCCATCAGAATTGAGCAAGAGCTACTCGAAGGGTAGAATCGAGCGATGCTGTGAGCGCATCGCATTGTGTTGCGACCCAACGTTTCGCTATTGCTGTAGATAGTATCTCCAGCCAGCAACGAAGATGACAATAGCTTTCAGCCTGTTTGGCTTGTTTGCGTGTCTCCTTGGGGCCGAGGCCGACGCGGCTTCCGAGACGATCACTCGCGATGTGGTGATTGTGGGCGGAGGAAGCACCGGCACCTACGCGGCCATCCGCCTCAAGGACTTGGGCAAGTCCTTCGTCGTGGTCGAGCGCAGTCACCGTCTGGGTGGCCATGCAGAGACCTTCTATGCAGCCAAACACATCCCCATCAACTACGGGGTCGAGGGACTCTTCAACACCAGCGCGACGCGAGCGTATCTACACCGACTCAACGTCACGTATGAAGTGCGCGTGCCCGCCTCGTCCACGGACCAGTATCTTAACCTGAGGACCGGCGCCAAGGTGCCGGTCGAGCCCTTTGACGAGCAGCAGGTCCTGAAACCATACCTCGATGCTATCGCCCAGTTCCCCTTCCTCAACGACGGGGTCTACGACCTACCCGACCCAGTCCCAGAGAACCTACTGCTCCCGTTCGGCGACTTCGTGAAGAAATACCACCTCGAAGACACCATCCTCCCGAACATCAATCACGGCTGCGGCGACATCCTGAAGACGATGACCCTCTATCACGTCCAATACCTCGGAGTCCCGCACGCCAAAGCCCTGGGAGAAGGCTACATCCGCCCCGTGAACGGCATGGCCGAGATCTACACCCGGGCGGCGAAGGAATTGGCCCCTCACCTCCTGTTCAAGACGACCATCCGATCCATCCGTCGCACCCACAACGGGGTCGAGGTCACCGTCCGTCACGCCAACGGCACAGCGCGACTCATCCGCGCGAACCAACTCCTCCTCACCATCCCCGTGACGCTCGACAACCTGCGCAGCATCATCGACCTCGACGCGCACGAAACGGACCTCTTCGCCCGCTGGCGTCACCAAACGTACTACGCCGCCCTCGTAATCAACACCGGTCTCGTCGAAGGGGTAAACTTCCTCAATATCGACCCAGACAACCCTCTGTCCGTGCCATCCGAGCCGTTCATCTGGCGGATCGACGCCCAGCGCGTTCCCGGATACCGCACCATCAAGCTAGTGGGGAACCAGTTCTTCACCGCGTCCGATGCGCGGCAGTTGTTGGTGGAGACGTTCGCCCGGCTCCGCGCCCAAGGTACGTTTCCGACGGCGCGAAAGCCGCAGATTGTGACCTGGGGGGACCACACGCCGGCGACGATGAGTGTGAGTGCGGAGGAGATTCGGGATGGGTTTTACAGCGGACTATATGGCTTGCAGGGACGGCATCGCACGTTCTACACGGGGTTGTCGTGGGCGTCGGATTACTCGACCTTGCTGTGGGGGTATACGGATACCGTGATTGAGCAGATGCGAGCGGCGTGGGGACAGGGGATGTGAGGTCGCTCATCGCTTCTGGATGACAGGGAGATGCGGAGAGAAAGCTGTCATATTGTTTGTAGTCTCTGAGTTGTCGTTTCATGGTAGCTGTGCGCCTCATGCGCTTTGATATTTCGACTGATTGTTCATAAAGAGATCGAATGTGTAATCCGTTGGTACAGTAGATCAAAGACATGACACTTTGCTCAACAGAAGCTCAGTGACCAAGGTCTTGCGAGTGGGTGGGAAAGAGTCAGTCAGCCCATCTGAGATAGTGAAAATGAACTCACGAATGACCGTACCTCCGCAAACCACGTACACCTCCACTAGAGACTTCTTTTCTCTTTTTCGTCGCCACCATTTTAGGGCAACAGATTACAGAGGGCGCGCGTCACTCCAGTCCGGGAACAACATACCGTTGAGGCTTGGCGCATTCAAACTGCAGACACCGAGTCTCCAGCTCGCATTCGACCATCAATCACCACTACTCCGCCCATCCCTGGCCAGCCTAAACCACCTTGAGCATCCAGCCATGCCCTCAGTCCGACGCCAGGAGCAGCTCGAGCCGCCCGTCGCCGCCCGAGATCAAATGATAACCTCGGCTGTACGGGACATCCAAAGGCTCCTAACATCGAGTCATTATACGTCTCGTCTCCAAGACAATGTCTGCCGCGCAGGTGTGCTTCCAGTATTTCGCCGTCGGGGTCACGTTGCGCAATGCTCGCTCTATCTGACATCTTTTCCGCCCGGGTGCCGGATTTCAAGGAAGCGCTCGCTCGGTTGGTTCATATCGTACGCCTCGCAGGCCCGGAACTTTACTCAGTAAACAAACGTCGAGATCCTTACGGAAACCATGCATACTACCTCGTCGCAAGTCGATCGCGCTGCGGGTGATGACGAGACGGAACATCCGTTGTGAAGAAATCAGGAGGCCGTGCCTGTTCGGGTTGAGTTCGAGGTCCTTGATCTTCCGTCTGGCATTGTAGTAGTTGACGGAGAGACCTGGTGCGATCTGGGCAGAGTGCTTGGTTTGGATGGCTTGATGTTTCGAGCTCGACGCCACTGTAATAGGCGCTTGCTTTCTTCTAAGGTACAGCATGTGTAAGTGGGACTAACGGCGGCTGATTGAGTTTGTTGGGTGGGAGGTATGGAGGCTGTTCAACATTACCGACAATAAGGTCTGGTATTCCAATCCCATAGCCTATAGGTGTGTGAGCACGGTTGGATGTGTGGACACAGGAGAGGAAGTTGGAAGCTCAACAAGTGGTCCACGGTAAGCCTTCAGTCAGTTCCTTGTGAATCTGCGGGGTGTGGGTGCGGGTGCGGGTGCGGGGTAATTCCGAAGCGACTGTCGGCCGACCTGACCCTCCAGTGCATCACAATACACCGGCATTTTCAGAGTTTCAGAGAAAGAATACGGAATGTCTATGATTGACAGTGTTGATCGTTTCTCATAGCAACTGGACTAACTCAACACCAGTTGAGCGTTCAAAGCACGCTGACATTGTGTTCGGGCCTAGACCGATTCATTGAACCTTCCCCGCCACATGTACTGTACCAAGTTCGGGGTGGACCTCGGGTGTCGAGTCTCAAAGGTGGTCGTGATCTCGTAATCAACATCCACCTGACGCATTTCAAGATCGGGTTTCCCTACGGTATACCTAGGTACTTAGTACCAGCTACCATAACAATCCCTGCAACTGAGACTGGATGGTGTGGTGGGGAGAAACCATTTTAGACCGAGGTATCTTCCCCGCTTGTTGAAATTGGCCAGACATACCCGTATATGTAGAGATTCCTGCCACCGACCGTCCAAGCCCACCTTCTCATCCAATCCTGTACATACAACGTACCCCCGCGATAAATTGAAGCAGTGCCATACGCCCCAAGAAAGTACGCGCACTCACGAAAGATGGAGCCCCCCAACGGGAAGAAACCCTCCTCCGCCACGGACGGATTCTTCCAACCGCTTCCTGTCGTCCCGCCCGCATACACCACCTCCACCACCACCAACAATCACCCACGATCGGCCACCGAGTCCCCACCCGGCGACGACACCGCGCTCGCCCGCGTGCTAGATCTCTACCTTCCCCCGAACTGCCCCGAGCCCACAACCGCTATCCACAACCTCTCCCGCCTGGCCCTCGACCCCACCGTCCTCCGCCTCGCCGTCGACGCAGAGGTCAACCCCCCGATCCTCCGGCCCCTCACAACCTTTGGCGCAGAGAACCGCGTCGACCCGCTCTGGGTTGGAGAAGGGTGGCGTGGACTCAAGGCGATCGGACAGGAGGAAGGACTAGTCTCTGTCGCGTACGACGAAGAGAACGAGGGGTGGAACCGACGCGTCCACCAGTTCGCGTTGAATCATGTGTGGACGGGCAGTGCGGCGATGACGGGGTGTCCGGCGTCGATGAGCGACGGGGCGGCGAAACTGCTCCACGCACATCGGGACGACCCGGACGGGGACCAGCCGGGGAGGGGGGCGGTGCTGCGAGAGTCGTATCGGCGGCTGGTCGCGCGGGATCCCTCCGTGGCGTGGACCTCGGGCCAGTGGATGACAGAGCGTCGCGGCGGGAGTGATGTCCGTGGGACGGAGACGGTGGCCCGCCGCTTGACGGAGGATGAGATTGCACACGATAGCGCGCAAGGCAGGGACCGTGACGCGCATGGGCTGCCGCTGGGGCCGTGGCGCATCGATGGTTTCAAATGGTTCAGCAGCGCGACTGACTCTGAGATGACGCTGTTGCTGGCCCAGACTAGGAAGGGGCTCAGTCTGTTCTACGTGCCGATGCGCCGCTGTGCTGGGGGCGAAGGAAAGGCACCAGAGTTGAATGGGATCCGCATCCAGCGGCTGAAAAACAAGCTGGGCACCAAATCGCTTCCCACGGCTGAGCTGGAGTTAAGGGGGGTTCGAGGTTGGCTGATTGGGGAAGAAGGCAAGGGGGTTAAGGAGATTGCGACGGTCCTGAACATCACTAGGCTATACACGGCCGGCGGCTCCCTTGGGTATTGGGGCCGCGGGCTGGCGATCTGTCGCGCTTACAGTAAGATTCGGACGACACAGGGGAAGCTTCTGCAAGACAATCGACTGCATGTGCGATGGATGGCGAGTGAGACGGTGAAGTACTGGGCGTCAATGCAGCTCACCTTCTTTGCCGTTGCGTTGCAGGGCACCATCGAGCAAGACTGGGAGTTGACGGCCCGAGGTACCAAGGCTGCTAACTTGATTCCTAGAGATAAGGCGACAGCTGCAGCTCTACTTCGTCTGATCACTCCTGTGATGAAGGGTACGGTGAGCGTGAATTCGGTCCATGGGCTTCGCGCCTGCATGGAGTGTCTGGGTGGCGTGGGCTACTGCGAGAATAACGAAGACGGTGGGCTGCTGAACATTGCCAAGATCTTCCGCGATTGCACAGTCAATGCTATCTGGGAAGGAACTGTCAATGTGATGGCAGAAGATGTGGTCCGAGTTATCAACGACAGGCGTCTAGGAAAGGGGGAAATCATCGAGACAGTCCTGGGTTCATGGGTGAGACCTGTACTTGCAGTATGCAAGCCGAAATTCGAGCACGAATGCAAAAATATTGAGCAAAGCTTGGATGCCTTGCGATCGATGGTCTCCCGACGCGTGACGGAAGAGCTCCTCTACCGGGGAAGGGAACTCACGCAACATATCGAGGTGATTGTATGCGGCACGCTGCTGATATACAATGCTTCTCTGGATGATAACCAAGTTGCGAAAGCGGTTGCTTCTCGGTGGATAAGTGGTAACACTATATCAAGTATCCATGTCGCTTCACCTTCGATCGGATGGTCTGAAGAGTCTGCTGCGGACAAGCAGATATTTCTTGGAGGCACTTTAACGACACACGAAGAACTCTCCAAGCTGTAGCTATCTCTAGGATGCTAAGATTGACCATTTGATCGAGCCTCTCTCTGTTGGGATTTACCTTTGTACGCCTAGGACTCCTCGCCACAAACGGTGGATTGCAATAGCACATCGTTATAGCCCAGTGGCTGCAGGCCCCCAATCCGGTCACAAACAATGCAAACAAGCCGGAATGCTAAAGAAAATCACGCTTTGATTAAGTGATTGTATCTTTGCAAGACCTCAGCATATTCTCTATGTGGTCAATGGCCGGCCGATCACTCCTTAGGTTCCCATTCTCAGCCGCGCCACACATTGACCTAGTATTCATTCTGACAAGCGCTGCAGAAAGTGGGTTAACACCACCATGGGAAGGCCCTTCCGGACGAATAACCGGGCGCGCAAATGCATGTGAGAGGTAGAGTGTTGGATTCGAGCCTGTGTTTGCTAAAGCACGGTACGGATCAGGGATTTATTACGATTATCCTCTTTGACTGGTCAGATTCTCAAGATAGGCGTCTGCAGGCGTTCCTTCAGCCTCGACCCGGATGGAACAATGTCAGACTTGCAACCCTTGCTTCTGAGCTTGTTAGCACCTGAAAAAAAATGATATAAAGCAGCAAGTTTCCTCTCAGTGTCCTGCCTTGCCGGCAAACCCTTCGGAAGCTCACCTGAGATAAACAACGACCATGACGTACCCCACTCAACACCCAGGGCAACCACCAGCGAAGCTTCCCCGCACGGGTCTCGCCCCTCTCCTCACCACGCTAAACACTCCCGGTGAAATCGAACTCCCTGACGGCTCCATCGTCCCCGTCAACCCGCCCCACCAGCCAAGTTGGCGCGTCACCTTCCACACCCCGGCCTCCCTCCGAACCCCGATCACCGAGCTTGCCGTTGGCGAGGCCTACATCAAAGGCACCATTAGCATAAGCGGCGACCTAGCGACGCACCTCGCATCCCGTCCTGATTATGAGGATAAAGTCCCCCTGCGCCAACGGCTCCGCTTCCTCTGGGACTACTATTTCCGCGCCGGCACCCATATGAATGCTCAATCAATCGACGAGCACTACGGCCGCGGCGACGACTTGTTCCTCACATTCATCGACACGCGGTACCGGTTCTACACGCACGGGATATTCGATCAACAGGACACAGACGGACAGAGGATAAGCATAGAGGATGCGGCTGAGCGCAAACTCGCGCGGATGTTTGCCGCGTTGCGATTGGAGGCCGGAATGCGCGTGCTGGATATCGGTGGGGGCTGGGGCGGGGTCACGGAATACTGTGGCGCCAGAGGGGTGCATGTTACCACGTTGACATTGCTCGAATATCAGGCACGGTATGTTGAGAAGATGCGGCAAAGGTTGCAGTTGCCGGGGCGCGTGCTGGTCGGGGACTTTTGGGTGTGGGAGTCTGAAAGGGAGTTCGATGCGGTCGTGATCTTAGGGGTCATCGAGCATTTGCCCGATTATCGGCGGTTTGCAAGCAGGGCCTGGAATCTACTGAAGGTGGGAGGGAGGATGTATTTAGATGGCTCGGCAGCGGTGGAGAAGTACGCTGTCAGCCCATTCACGAGGCGGTATGTTTGGGGTGGCACGCATACGTATATGGCAGTGCAGGATGTGGTGGGAGAGTTGTTGATGCATGGGTTTGCTGTCGATGAGGTGGTACAGGAGACGAAGGACTATGAGTGGACAATGGAAGAATGGGCGAGGAGATTGGATCAGGCCAAAGATAAGATTGTAGCAGGCTGGGGCGAGGAGACCTATCGTGTCTTTAGGCTATTCCTGTGGGGCGGAGCGCATGCATTTTCTGTCAATGCTTTGCAGGCGTACCATGTGGTAGCTGAGAAAACAGCATCCAGAGGGCCGAGACCATCGACTGGCAGGAGACTGGTGCAGTTCTTTGGGAAGCTGAGGTGATTGCTGAATGGAAGGTTTATGTAATGGTCGCCATGCAGATAGTTGGTCAAAAGAAGTACTGACCTTGCGCCTTGGTCAACTAAGACTTGTTCTGCTGGAGACAGCTCGACTATATCAGCATGAGTTTTGATGTTTCGTAATCTGCAAAAATTTTCACTATGTGGAGTTGGACGAATATGCTAGTGGAAGTGAGTGGCGAGCCACGTCAACTGACTGCATCGCCAATCCCTAATAAGAGATGCCCACTTTCAGCGAATTATACAACGCAAAGCAGACCACAGGATAGAGGTATCATCATCGTTAGTGTAAGTGTAATGGGAATCTTGCTCCAACCGAGCCTACTAATGTTCCTTAGTTGTTGTGACCCCGTACAAAAGGACCGTTCTGAATCTTTTCTCTTGCCACCAAATAAATGTAGGCTGGGAGGCTCTCCTGCAGTGATCAATTCGACGGTCAAGCTTCGGGTGGGCGTCAGACAAGCCTCCATAGACCGGCTCGCGCCGAAATGGACAACTCGCATTGTTCAAGACGATTAAGTGCTCGGGAGGAGTCGACAACCGTATGATAGACCCTGAGAGTAGTTCTTAATGACCATCCAAAGATATTCTTCAACAGGTGGAATGAAAATTATCCTCCGTCAGGCATGCGGAGTAGGTATCTGGCAGAAGTTAAGGAAGAGGGTCTACCCGACCGTCGGTTAAAATAAGGAGAATCAGGGAAATCAGAACGGGTTCAACACAAAGAAGGAAAATCTCCGAGGCAGAAATAAACCGACTGGACTACGCAGGAAACACGGCCTCCACCGAGACTGGGGAAAAACCGCTCCCCCAGGCGGGACCGACAATGATCTCTGCGGTCTATTCAGCGAGACGTCGATCAGGACACTCCATCTGAGACGATTTGTAGGCGGGAAAAGTGTTGGCTTTAGCGACGAGATTTCTGGTAGTCGTTGAGATCTCCACTCAACCAACAACCAGAGGAGCAAGCCACAGGTGAACACACTCGGGAAAGTGACAGAAAGAAGAGAGCAACTAGGACTGACCGAAAGCAGAAGAAATGAAGGAAGGACTAATGGGTTAGTATATAGAGAACATTGAGGCAGCAAGAGGTGATCCTGGCAGTATTCAGTCTCTCGTGACTATCTCACTTCGGAAATGTAGCCAGTGGAAGGTGAAGACCAGGAAAGTTTTTAGGCTGAAATGTTTGAGCGCGACGACGCGAATAGGAGCTTATGGGCGCGGATGAGTGAACGCGAGATGAAAAAGATTGACCGCCTTTGGCAACAGCGAGGAGAGCACTGCGATCAGCCCGCAGCAAGGACAGAATAGAGGGCCAACAAGACTCAGCGACGCTTCAGCATTGCACTGGTGGAGTTCTTAGATTGATGGTGATGTTGTCTGTGGAACGTTGCTGTGGTGTTACACGGAATTATGAGCACAGATTCTGACTCAGCATGAATAACTCAGCTTAATGTCACTCAAGTCGGCGCAAGCTCAATCTTGGTTTTTTCCTGCTCGAGTTTTGACCTCGGCCTTGTGAACCGAACAAGCTTGAATCTGAGACCATTCAGGATTGGGCCAGAGAGTCACTGAGAGCGTCTAGTCAAGCAATTCACTGAAGCATGCTCACAAACCAGATATCACGTTAGATAGCTGAATGGATCTTATGACGCAATAGAGCTAAGTATATTTTCGAAGCCGCTCGGCGTCCTGCCGTCTTGCCGGACATTTCTTTCTCCACCTCGGAGATGACTACCGAGGCATCATAACGTGCACTGTCACCTCCCCCAGTCTCTGATTTCACAGCCTGTCTATCGAACTACCAAGCACCAGAATGACAGCTAGATTCGCCATCAAGTCCCTCGACCACCTGGTGCTGACGGTGCGGTCCATCCCCACGACGGTGGCCTTCTACACCTCCCACCTCGGAATGCGACACGAGATCTTCACCTCTCCGAGCAGTCCGGAGGTCCAACGGTCTGCTCTACCAATGCACTGCATCTGGGCTGGATGAACCCTCGTGCTGATCTGTGTTAGTCATTCCCTCATCTTCGGTTCGCAGAAGATCAACCTTCATGAACGCGGCAAGGAATTCGAGCCCAAGGCCCAGAATGTGATGTCGGGCAGTGCGGACCTCTGCTTCTTGACTGATACCAAAGTCAGTGATGTGAAGAAGGCTCTCGAGGACGCTCGCATTGAGGTTCTCGAAGGGGGTGAGGTTGTTCAGCGCACCGGGGCTCGAGGCAAGATTCACAGTGTGTATTGTCGCGACCCGGACGGCAATCTGATTGAGTAAGTGGTTGTCTCTTGTTCGATGGCCTGGTTACTGACATGGTATAGGATCTCCAATTATGTGTAATAAGAACAATCGTCACCCCGTGAAGTTCATTAGTAGTGCCCGTTGTCGACAGAGCGTGGATCGGTTTTGGATGCAGGAGGACGGTGACATCGACTTGATTGAGCCTATATACCTGGGTGAGCACATAATGGAGACACTTTAATTCAGGTTTGGATGTTATGCTCGGATTTGCTACGCGCCACGTGGTACGCTTCGGCCTCGTTGACCTTGTAATGTACGGTCGGGCTGAGTGGCTGTAACCGCCCGTCACCAAGCTACCTCAGAAGCTGAGGGGTGAAGGATAACGAATCAATAGCTGCGGTAACTCCTGTGCCACGAAAAGTGTGCCAATCCTGCTGCTGCGGCAATCCGCGTAGAGAAAGCTTTGTTTGCCATGCAAACACGCAGTGGATGGAATACAGGGGATGTGCATGGTATAAAGACCTCATCTTAGCACTTGTCTCGATCACAACAATGTTCATCCCCCTTTCATCTACCACCCCCGAAGGTCTTCCCGCCAATCACCTTTCCTTATCATCGCCAAGCTCACTGAACACCATCACAATTTCGTTACCTTCATCGTATCGAACAGCTCGACAGAATGGGCGTCATATTCTCTATGCTCGACTGCCTGGTCCCTACCAAGCGCACACGTGCATCTGCTCAAGCCAGCACGCCTCCTACCTCGTCCCCGCAAGTCTCGGAGCTCCTTACCATACTGCTCACCACTCCGACCGTCCCCGAGATACAGAAATCCACCAGCGAGCTCATCCACCCAACTGGCTGGACCGATTACCTCGCCCGCGGCCTCCTCTCGGGCCTCGTCAACGCGATCGAGCAACACGCCTCAATGGCCCAAGCAGCCACCGAGGCTCTGCGACGCGCCTCCGAGGAAGCCTTCGAGTTCGCACAAGAACACCCCGTGTACACTACCATCCTGGCTCTGGGAGTGTTGGTGGCCCTCATGCCGTGGGTGCTAGAGGTGCTCGGGTTCGCCGAGTTGGGCCCGGTGGAAGGGTCATTTGCGGCGTGGTGGCAAAGTCGGTATGCGGGATATGTGCCGAAAGGGTCTCTTTTTGGTTTCTTTCAGAGACTGGGGATGGTCTGGCATTGATATCTGAAGCTAGAAATCTGTGAATGAGTGGCGAGGGAGCGATTTAGGACGTTGAGAGTGATTGATCGATGATGGTTGTATGCTGGGTTCCCATAATCCAAGAAGACAATGTTCATACCGGCTGTGCTTCGCACGGAGAATAGTACACCGGTCGGCTCTTGCGGGTAGTGCCTGCGGTGGTCTGAGAATAGGCTGCATGAATCTGCAAGAGGAACAGGTACTATTTACACTAGATCAATCGGGTTGAGTGGATTCTCCTAAACTGCAGGCCTGCAGACTGGTTATGCACAAGATCGAATAGACCCTCGTCGCCGATGGTCGCACGGTCGCACCCGATCATCAAACCGAGATTGAGTTAAGCAATGTAAGATCTGGATCCGGTTCCAGGGGTCCGTTAACCGCCCGCTTGACTTGTCCATGATTGATGTTTGTGGGGCTTGTAGAAACAAGTCTTGACAAACCGAGGAGCACGGGTTTTCGAGCAAGCGTGCTGCCAACACATTCAATCGGTGCAGTAGCAGCTTGCATGTAGTGGGGAAAGCCGAGAGATCAACGGCTATAAATGTTTAAGCACCGTGCATGATGAGAGCGCTGAAATTTTCCGCGATATGCGCACAATTCATCAGGTCATAGTGGGGTGGGTGCAGATGCGTTGTCGCTGCGCGGTTCCCGTGATCAGGTACAACTGATGCCCCGAGAATCGGTGAGAATAAAGAACCTTTATAAGATAGGAGCATCTACTGAATTGTCTCCCGTGGCAGTGGCAAGAAAGAAGCTGATATATATCAAAGACGCAATGCTCATGGTGTAAATTAATTAGAGATAAGTATTTTTTGTACATTCCGACATGGAAGGCCGTTTAGAAGGCCGGAAGAGGCGGTTGTCACATCCGCACAATGTCATTGTTGAAGTGCACGAGGGGGAAGGGCGCGCTAAGCGCCCGCTAGGTGCGGAAAAGTCCCAGACCCACCGAGTCGGCTAACCCGCTTCCGACCTGCTGGATCGAGGCAATCCATAGAGAGAACCTGGCAGCAAGCGGAAGAGAGAAAAGACCCTCAAAAAATGTCGTTCAAGGTTCCCGCTAGCCTATTCCAGTCCGACTTGCGCCAGCTGACTCTTCGGTCTCAAGCCGATACGAGAAGTAGATATTACATTGCATTCGTTATCGAATGGCGAACCCTGCTTAGCCACGAGAGATTCGGCGACTTCCAGGATGCAAGCCATCCCTCTCAGCAGGATGACATGCAAATGACATGATTTTGCATCTTGTCAGCAAGCTCGGAGAAGGAGTGGCGGTATTCTCGATTGGATGTATCAGGCATTGACATACATACTGCACATATGCGCAACTGAAGAGCTGCAAGGAATCTCGTTTCCACTGCGCGGATTTAGCTGAAGAAATCAGCCAACACGAAAGGTACCACCAGGTAGGTGCAATGGTCCGAATCAACTCTCCAGAGACCAAAACAAGAAAATCGGGGAGATGGAACAGAGCGACCGACTAACCCGAATGCGGCAGGTGACTTGAGAACCGTCTGAGCCCGTGCAGTGGACTAACTAGTTACCAGCGGGTGGAGCCTCCCAAGTCTCTCTCCGAGTCTCCGTCGAGAGTCCATGAAGGCAAAAATCTAGCCTTGTCCGAGTCCAGATCTTCATCTTAGCACCATGGAGGCGCGTCTGCCGAAGTGTCGACGGGCAGATTGTCCTTCTCACATAAATCTGGCAACCCCGATGTATCCTCCGAACTTCCTCCCTTCTGTTGTTCTTCACTCGCTCACAATTCTCAATTCCGTTTGCGGCAATACACGAGTCCGACGGACTCGGGAATATTCGCAGAAGCCACTAGAATTCACCATCCTCGCATATATAATCACACTCGGATAGACGTCACTGCATCGTCTTTATCGTATGGCGACAATGGCCACCGCTGACCTCGAAAGAACGCCTTCAGGCAAGTGAAGTCTCCCCCCTGATCAATGGCCCAGTACTGACCGTCATGACCAGCCAGCTCGCAAGAGTCGGACGTCGTCGTTCTCGAATGGGAGGGATCCGATGACCCGGGGGACCCCCTCAACTGGCCCCTTCATCGAAAATGGATTGTCACAGCGATTCCCTTGTTTACGACGTTCACAACACTCATGAATGGAACCATCATTACCGTCGCCCACGAACAAATCAACGAGGAGTTCGGGATCAGCGATGCAAGCTTCCCGCACTCGTACTGGCCCGTCACATCATGGACTATCGGTGGTGCATTCTTCTCTCTCCTTGTTCTCCCAGTCATGGAGGACTTTGGCATCCGGCGCTGCTTTCTGGGCACGTACCTAATCTTCCTCTGCTTCATTATTCCGCAGGGGCTGGCCCAGAACTTCGCTACTCTGGTCATCACCCGATTCTTCTGCGGCGGTTGCGTAATGATCCTCGCCAACACCGTCGCCTCGGTAATCGGTAATGTCTGGAGAGACGAGCGCGAGCGCAACATGCCCGTGAGCCTGTATATCCTCGCTTACCTCTCCGGAAGTAGTATCGGTCCCGTGATCGGCGCCGCGATCCTCCAATACCTGTCTTGGCGCTGGATCTCCTACCTCCAGCTGATCTGGTTCGGCGCTCTCTTTCCGATTTATTACTTCCTGTTCCGAGAGTCCCGAGGCGCCGTGATTCTCACCCAACGCGCGCGCCACCTCCGCGCCAAGGGTCAGAACGTGTACGCACGCGAGGAATTAAACAAACAACCCAGCCACCAAATGCTCCTGGCCAGCATCAAGCGGCCTCTGCAGCTGCTGTGTACCGAGTCGGTAATTTTCGTCTCGACGCTGTGGTCCGCCTTCACCGTCGGGACGCTCTACCTCTTCACCCAAACCGTGGAACAGGTTTTCAGCGGATTATACGGCTGGAACGCTGTGCAGGCCGGCTATGTCCAGGCCGCGATCGTGGTTGGCCAATGTCTCGGCTGGACCACGTGCTTTTACTCCGCGAAACTGTACTTTGACTCCGCGCGTCGCAACACGGAGATCCCCGGCGCCCCCATCCCCGAGGCGCGCCTGTACACGGCCGTGGCGGGCGGCATCCTGGGCATTGCGGGCGGGATGTTCACATATGCCTGGACCTCGTACCCGAATATCCCGTGGGTTGCGCCAGCGGTAGGGCTGGCCATGGTCGGGGCCGGGAGTGTGACGGTCGTGTGCGGCATTGCGGACTATGTGGTCGATGCGTACAGTTACTGGGCCGGGAGTGCAGTCGCCACCGTGGCGCTGGGCGAGAATGTTTTCTCCGCCTTCCTGCCACTCGCGGCGCAGAGCATGTACAATACCCTGCATTTTCAGTGGGCGAGTACTTTGCTGGCCTTGATCTCGCTGGCTTTGGCCTTTGCGCCGGTCTTGGTGCTGATCTGGGGGAAGGAGATTCGGGCGCGGAGTCCGTTCATGAGGCAGTCGATGCTGGAGAAACGGCAGGAGATTGAAGCCTTGCCTTCCTCGACGGAGAAGGAAGGAGCCGGTGATGGGAACGTGCGTGTATAGACTGTGAAATTTCGATGATTGATGCCTTAGATGTACAATACTTTGCCGTGATTAATCCTATATAGTTAATAATCAACCGCATTACAAAGACAGTATCCGAAGTCAGCAGCATGCCAAAGCCGAACTCACCTACCGATAGAATAGCAGTCACTTGCTTTGAATCCGCAGACAAACTAATGAGACCCAGCCCATACCGTGGAAGATCCTCGGAAGATAGACACCTATTTAATCCACCCTGCAGAGTCGACCACTATCTAGATCATAATCCCACCAATCGCTTCCCATACTAGCCAGAACAAACAAGCTCTCATTCGGATCGTTATTGGCCTTGACCTGCACCAACCGGTCATAGTTCGCCCCATAGAAGTCACGCTTGAACTCGGGATCGAGTGGATTAGCCTCGTTCATGTACGCCCGCGACTCCGGCGCCCACAGCTGCCTCATGCGCTCCTTGGCCTCGTACCATCGCGCGGCGTCTTGCAGCGCTCGCTTCGGAGAGCCCGCAGCGACGGAGTCGACTGTCGCTCCGTTGGCAATGAAATGCAGGTACGCCGTGCGCCACGTCGGTAGCAGAGTACCTCAGTCCCCTGGAGGGGTCTGTTGCATTCCCGGTCCGCCTTGTAAGCCGATCGTCGCAAAGGTTCTCGCGGTCGCGTTCTGCGCTTGAAGCGCGATTCTGAGATAGCCGGTCATGTCTGTGCGCGACGTGCCAAGGAGCTCGCGGCGGCCGAGGAGGCGAATCGATACGACGCTCTGGCCGCCGGCTGCGTTGCTACCAGAGATGGCGGAAATGCAGGAGGTGTAGTTCGCAACGTTGGAAGTGCTGAAAGTGATAGTCACTGCACTGCTACCTCTATTTGGAGTCGATTCATGTCCAATGTGGGTGGAGACCGGACGGATGAAGGCTTCCATAGCGGATGGGGTAGAGTTGAAAGACCAGAAGGCTTGCGAGATGACCACGCCGGTCGTAGCTTCAAAAAGAAAGCCGAATCGCACCGCTGTATCGGCAGTTGACATCATACATGCCCCTGCTAGACCGGTGTCCATCAGGACCGGAAGCGCCTGGAGGTACGGCACGGCTGCTTTCCAAGATGCCTCCGCGCTGATATTGTTGCGGTCGGCTTCTGGGGCGATCAAAAGGTTTCTCATAGTCACGTTGCGCGGAGCCGGATGATGTCGCAGCAAATATTCTGTGACCAGACCATACAGGCCCGGCCCGCCACCGCGCAGCGCTCAGAACAGGTCCTGGTGTTGTGAATCGTTGGCTATGAGTAACTGTCCCTGGGTGGTGGTGACGCGCATCTGCAGTCCGCGACTAGCAGCAAGGCCGTAGGTCCGTGACAATGGACCGTGTCCACTTTCTTGAATGTAGCCACCAAGTCCGACGCTGGGGTCTTGTCCGGTGGTGACTGCTCGGCCCTCAGCGAGCGCATATAAGCACATTTCCCCACTGCTGGCCGCTGCCAACGATGTATACATCCTCCGTGATATTCTTGGTTGGGTGTTTCCATGAGATATCGCGCCGTAACTTGCGGAGATTATGAGTCCAGATCGACAAAGCAAAGGCAACGCTTGACATAACAATGCAAACGTATATTAGCGCTTGATGTGTGACTCGAGGCGAACCGTTCACCCTACCGCCAGTTCAAATCATGTCCAGTACCTTTAATGACGATGCGAATGCTGCGGTCGGCAGCCCACTTCATTGCCGTCGCAATCTGAGTCTGGCTGGCTTGCAAGCCAGAGCGCGTTGGTCCACTGTGACTGAACTGTATTGCATGAGATTGGAGTCTCAAAGTGGCTGTTAGGCCAGCAGGAGGCAGCAGCGGGAGCTGTGCTGAAGCAGACGACCGCCAATGGACGCATTCAAAGACAACCAGTCCGTGTCAGAGGGCCATGTCACATCAACAGGGGTGTTTTTGCATCTACCTGCCACCACAGGCGATGTAAGGCAAAGTGCGGACCAGAAGATCAGGTGTAACATTTTCAATGTTGTTGGATTGAGACGCCTTGAGGAGGCAGGGTACGACACTTTATAGCTAGTCTGTCGCTTCTCGATATGCTTTGCGCTTTTGCCTGTGGACCTTCGAGCCTGCTGTTCGTCATGCTTTGGATGTCTCCAGTGTACATACATCATCATGCTACATCCTGGTGTAAAATAGGCTGTTGATCGACCGGATTTTGGTGGTGAGGCCGAATGGAGTATGATGCAAGTAAGGGAACCTGCCACAAGATATCAGAAGACTATCGTTGTAGCACCTCAGGGCGTGGACTTGCCACCGGAACGAGGACATGGACCTGATCTATTTAATGCTAGACAAACTCTCTTGTCTCATGGGCCCAACGCAACAAGTTGTGCGGATCCTGCTGAGTGGCCTTGCGGATGAGCTTGAGCAAACGCCATGACCTCTGCAATCAAGACTGTGTAGGTGACATTTCATTATATGAATCGATCAAGATGATCTTTTAGACATCGATCAGTCAGCGATCGACTTTAAAAGGGGGATGAACATCTCAGATTTGAGAGAATCTGCTATAATTCGGCAAGGTAAATACGAGCACGAGGCAATGGCCCAAAGCAGTTAGTCATCGGCTGCTGTCAGTTCCTGAGGCAATAAGACCCCGCAATGCACAAACTATCCATAATTTTATGCCCGACTGAATCAGACCCCTCTCACGTCTCCTCGCTTCGAATGACCATGATATGTGATTTACTTCGCTTAGGTCACTGCGGAATGTTTTTATTCACATGTTCGATTCAGACAATCAAGAGAGCTTGTCCTAGCTTCAACACGTCTGTGCGTCAAGCTGCAGACTTCAGCCAGCCATGTCCCCGATTTGCCTTGCGGGGGTTGGGAGAGTCGAATGCCCCGAAGTCTCAAGCTCAGATTCTCTGATCACACACATGAAGGTTTTGAGAACTCGCTAACAAGGGTCTACTGAGGGGAAGCTCATAGATTGAGACATGCAGCAAGCTGAACCGAGCTGACCTGCACGCACTCCCTATACGAGCCAGCGAAGCTGTCAGGCCGTTTTGTGGCTTGCGTATCAACGTTAGCTTCGCTATCCTTCCCACTCTGCACCAATCAAACAGCCCTCTCATTTGTTTGGGCTTCGGGCTTCGAAGCCTCTGGACATGGAGACAAGCAAACCAAATGGCTTGGAAGACTGTACTATGTGGTCTTGATTGACCGACGACGACTACTTAAACTCGATCAATATGCGAGGGAGTCGCTTTCACAGTAACAGTAAACACCAAAAAGAACTTACTCGCTCTTAACTACCACGATGCTCGAAGGTCTGATCCAGTCATACTCCCAATCGTTTGTTCTGCAGGCTCTGGCCAGCATTGAGCACCAGGAGCGGTTGACAGTAGTGATCAACAATCACGCTAAGGAGCCAGAAACCGTTGTCTTTGGACCCAAGTCGACGGACAAAGGTGTGCAGATCGTGATTTTGGATCCTAACGCCTGGGTTCGCATCTGCCAGGCTTTTGATCTGGTAAGATGCTCCTTCACCGTCTCAGGATGATCTAATCTTCGTCCAGGGTTTCGCGGAAGCATACATCTACCAAGAGCTTGAATGTGACGACCTCCGTCATGTCTTCCAGGTGAGAACCCCAACCCAGGCCTCTCCTACCCTCAGCAGCAAGATCGGCGTCTAATGTAGGCCCAGCTTTACCTCCGCAACCGTACCAGGCTCGGCTTCGGTAACCGTCTACTCAGTTTCCTCCCCCGCCTCCGCCACCTCCTCTTTACCCCCACAAACACAATGGCTCACTCCCGCTCGAACGTGACGTTTCACTATGATACCTCCAACGCCCTCTTCGCCGCCCTCCTTTCCCCAGACATGAACTATTCGAACGGATGGTGGTCGAACAATCCCCATGAGACCCTCGAAACCGCGCAAATCCGCAGCGTACACAACATCCTGCAGAAAGCCCGCATCTCCCCAACGGACCACATTCTCGACATCGGATGCGGTTGGGGCAGTCTGGCAATCGAGGCCGCCCGGCTGATCGGGTGCCGCGTGACGGGCATCACCCTTGCCTCGGAGCAGAAGGCGCTGGCCGAGAAGCGCATCAAGGCTGCCGGGCTAGACGATAAGATCACAATCCTGCTGTGTGACTATCGAAATGCGCCAATGCCGGCAGGCGGGTATGACCGCATCGTCTCGGTGGAGATGGTGGAGCATGTCGGGAAGAAATACATGGATGGGTTCTTCGGGACGATCTCCCGGCTTCTGAAGCCTGAGGGAGGTATTCTCGTGATGCAGGCGATCACGACGAACAACATGGTGAGTGGGTCTCTGCAAATTGTTCTGCGACGTATAGCTGATTCTGAGGGATGGGCAGATGCATGACAACAAACCCGGTATTACCACCTTCACCGATCGATATATCTTCCCCGGCGGGTACCTTTGTTCTACAAATGTGTTCCTGAATGCGTTGCACACCGGGTCGAATGGCACGTTGGAGCTTGACTCTCTCCAGAGCATCGGGCCGAGCTATATTAAGACTCTGATGACTTGGCGTGAGAATTTCCTCGAGAATTGGGATCTCATCCGCCGGGATTACGTCGACAGACACCCCGAGGCGACCGAGCATGAAGTTGAGGCTTTCCGTCGGGTGTGGGTGGTACGTACCCATTCTTTCGCAGCGCTGCACTGAGCGAGACGACTAACGGAATGTAGTATTATTTCACCTACTGTGAGGCAGGCTTCCGGTCGCGCGTGCTCACGAACCACGTCATCACCGCTGTCCGAACGCCTGAGCCTGCGATAAACGACCCGATCCCGGACTTCGATGAGGTTCTGGAGCCAAATTTGGGATCCGGCAGCCACTTCAAATATGAAGTGTTCGAGTAGCTACTCACAGGTCGAAGCTTGAGCATGGTAGATGCGCTATCATAGCAGCATGGGCAGGATGGAATCCATCGAGAGCTTGGGCTATGGTATGCAGCGAAGAAGGTCCCTGGTGCAGAACAATGAAATCCAAATGCCGTCGCTGCCTGAAGACACGTAAGAGCTCCATATGGAAAGCTGCGCTTCTTCTGAGAGCGCGACCGTAAACCTCGGAGCAGCCAGCCGGCTGAAAAGGAATGTCCAAAGAACCTCCAATCTCTCTCTTCGCATTACCAAGCGAGGCACGACAGTTTCAGTCATAAATCAGCGTTTCAAGTGCCCTGCCCACGTGACGCTGTAGCTATTCACTTTCCATTCGTCACAAACACACAACGCCAAGCAAACAAGGAACCGATCACAAAGCCGCCGCCCTGAGCTGCCTCAGGACTCCCACACACACCTTCCCCATGGACAGGCTCAAGTACTTAACGTCAACAAGCCCCGAGCCCAGAAGTGTATTGAAAAGCTCGTGCCACGCCAGCTTCGCTCAGCCCTCGCCGACCGGGCACCCAGTGCGAGGTGACCTCTTCTGTGGTCCTCGAACGGCTCAACGTCTAAGACGTGACCCATTCCCGGCCTTGTTTAGCCAATCACTACACAGGCCAAGAGCTCATACCCTGAGTTTACCCTCACGCATTCCTCTTGCGTTATGCTCACCCACCGCAATGACTCAGACCCTCCCTTGTCAACGCCCAAAGACCTATCGCTTTCTCTGCGCTTCGTCAGCGACGCCAACGACTATCCGCCACGGTTCCATTTCTGCTACACTTCCAAGCACGGAGCACATGGTTCTGAAGCATACGCACCAGAGACCACCAGTGTAATGGAGACCATTGAGCTATTACCCAGAGAAAGACTCTATACAAAGCAGACATACAGGCGAATCCGTATCCAACCGGGCTGGAGGTTACAGTCCTGGTGAGAATTAGAATATCGGGGTGTTTACACAAATTAGCAATGCTTCACATCTGATATGACGTTGTGCCGAACTGTACAAAGCATGAATTAAGGACTAGAATGCCACCAACACGCTGGCAGACTAGTGCCGCTATTATCCAGGACGGGGTCACCCTGTACGTACAATGAGAAAGAGCTGTGCTCATTGAGAAATTGACGATACGCTAGGGGTACGAGATGATCCTACCCCACAACTTTCGATTTGTTTTTGGAGAACCACACCTGAAACATATTGACAAGATCTGCTTTGGAGGAGATGGATGCACTACACATGGACTTGAAATATGTTTGCCGACATTGAGCACGGAAGCTGTGAATGGGGATAAGGCTTATTGTCTCGCTTTATGCCCATGTCGCGAGCTCGAAGATAAGGGGAGTAATTAAAAGCAGCATGATTCTGAGCCAGAGAGCCTTCACCCAGTCTCCATGCCCGCAATTGCTACTCCGCCTCTCAGTTATCATCAGAGAAGGCCCCATAATGCTTTGGACCGCCATACTTGTGCCAGTAAGTCACCTCATCATACTCATCTTTGTCCTGGCTCGAGACTCTGGTCCCCTCCTCGCCTCGCAGCGCCAGTCGCTTTGTCACCTCCGTGGCCTCGTTCAAACTCACCAACCGTCTCTTAGCTGGGTGGTGAGCGGCTGACTCACGAGCAATCCTGTAAATGGCTTTCTTCGGATGTTCTGGCGCGCGGTAGTCCGGCTTAAAGGTCTCCGTCGAGCGCTCAAGGACACAAGTCATCTCAGGATTCCAAGGTCCCTCTCGCGTTAGGTCTTCTCTCTCGACTGAGGGGCAGGCCGAAGTCACGTGTGTCACCCAGCTGTCGGTTGCGAGCTCAAGAGGCGTACTTCCCACAGCATTTTCACGGAACAGCAAATCGGGACGATAACTAAGCAACAACCTCAGCAACTCAGGATAGCCAGAGCGAACCGCTTCATGAACTGGTGTGTTTCCTGCACCATCAAACATCTCCAGAAACCTTTGGCTGATTGAGCTTGCGAAGTCCAGCACGCAACGTGCAGTAGCCTGGAAGTCTGGACTCGTATCGTCCTGGCTATTTCTCGCCCATCCCTGCTGATTGCTCGAAGAATGAAGCCAGCGTGCAAAGGGGGTGAGAGATCCTG